TATTCCTTTGTATATTTTCACACACACTAACTTCAGTTTAAACCCACTACTTTATATATAAATACAATCTCCTTATAACTAACTAAATCTTCTCTACTATGATAATGACACCTGTCACTATCCTAACCCTTCCTTTTATGCTAACAATGCTGGAGTTTTTTTATTTATTTAACCAACATTTCTGTTAGAGTGATGATATTATGAATGCATAGGATTATGACAAGTGTTTATGTATGATTAGTAGTAGTCTTAGTTACTTAGTGAGGTGTGTTACAAATATATAAATACCAAGAGTTGTAATTATTTTATACAAGTTGAATGAAAACAATATTATTCAGATTTAACAAACTTTCCCTCTCTACTTTCTCTCTCTTAGTTTTTCCTTAGCTTCTAAGGTTTTACACTGTTATCATGGTATCTTCGCCGGAAATGGCTCGCGCCTCCGGTTGACGATCCTCGGTGCTTCTGCTATTCCTCTACTTTGGTGATCGGTGTTTGGTGATCTATCTGATCGTCTGTGTTTCATCTTCTCTGGTTACGTCTTTGTGGTTTCCTTGTTGTTCGTATTGGAGTGTCGGTGTGTTCTTGATCGTCTTCTCTTAGTCGGTGAATTGCTGCTCTCGTGATCGCTTGAGTACTTCAAGTTTTGTTGATTCTTTCGTTTTTCTTTGCTCAGTGTATTTGTTCTGTGCGATTGCTTCCATACTTTGAGAATATGTAACACTATTTTTTGGGGGTTTCTTCTGTTGTCGTCGTAAAGTTGTTGTTTTCCTGCAATTACTAGGTTGTTGTTGTTGCTGGTGCTCTTAATTGCGGTTGAGTATTGAAATTGTAGCAAGATTGTTGAAGTTGTATTCTTTCAAGTCTGTGAGCTATGGTGACTTTTGTTCAATTAGCTCTTACACAATCCCCTATTTCGTCGTTGATCCCGAGTGTTGGGAATACTGTTACAGTAAAGGTTGATGATTCCAATTATGTCACCTGGAGCTTTTAAATGGACTTACTGTTGGAAGGAAATGGAATTGTAGGCTTTGTAAATGGATCCATTCCCTGTCCTGATAAGTTTGCAGATTTTGATAACAATCCTCATGTATCTGGCTGTCAGAGCTCCAAAGAGATGTGGATGAATCTTCGAGAACAAATCTCCAATGTTACTAGAACCAGTATTGTTCAACTCAAAATTGATATGCAGAATATTAAGAAAGGCCCTGAATCTGTTGATGCATATCTTCAGAGAATCAAAGAATCCAGAGATCAACTAGCAACTGCTGGTGTCACGATTTCATATGAAGACATTATTATTGTTGCTCTGCGAGGTTTACCCAGTGAGTATAACGCCATTAAAGCAGTTATTCGTGGAAGAGAGAATCTTGTGTCATTAAAAGAACTGCGTTCTCAATTAAAGGCAGAAGAAATCACCTTGGATGAAGCTACTAAACAGATTCCACTGATGTTTGCTATGTTCACTCAAGCATCTGGATTTAGTTATGACAATGGGGGTTCTTCAGGGACTAAATATGTGCCTTCCATGACTCAAGGGTTTAATGTCTCCCCTAGTTCTTCTATGCCATTTATACCAGTGTCATCCATGCCTCTTCAGGGTTTTCAATAGGTGCTCAAGCCTTTAATCAATTTCTTCTGCATTATGTGTCCAATGTTCCAATGGCCTTTGTTGCTCAAAATAGTTCTGGTTCTTACAACAATTTCTGGGGAAACAATTACAAAGGCAAAGGCAAATGGAAAAGATATAACAATTCTGGAGGACGGTATAATGGTCCAGGGGGTGTTCATCAGCCTCAGTTTTATACTGTCTCGAATTCTTCTCCAAATACTGGCACACCACAGTCTATGTCTCAGGCCTATAATCCGAATCAGATCTGTCAAATATGTGATCGTAAAGGTCATTCTGCATTGAATTGTTTTCAACATGTATGTTAAATTTGTCACAAAGTAGGCCATGTTGATGCTACTTGCTTTGATCAGAATAAGAATTCCATAGGCACATCAGGGCATTTCTCTCAGGGTTTCTCTTCCTCTATGCTAACTCCAATGCCTACTGAGTCATATGGTCAAGCACCTGGCTGGAATCTATTTGGTCCTTTACAAAGCATGATTCCACAGCCTACTAACCCCCAGACTCAGTATCATGTACTACCACAGATGTATCCCTCTACTATATCCTCACAAAATCCTTCTCTTGCTATGCAAGCACGAGCTAGTGCATCATCCTCAACTCATCAACAAGATTTCTAGCTTCTTGACTCTGGTGCAACTAATCATATGACCTCAGACTTGTCAAACTTGCACTTGGCAACAAATTATCCATCAAATGATATTGTGACCAGTGCTAGTGGTTAAGGTTTAGCTATCGAACATATTGGTTCCTCTTCTCTTGTCACTAAGTCACATAATTTCAAGTTAAATTCTATGTTACATGTTCCAAAACTGTCACAACACTTATTATATATGAATCAATTGTGCAAAGATAATCAGTGTCATTGTATCATTGATGATGTTTCTCTCTGTCTACAGGGCAAGGTCACTGGGAGAGTGCTATTCCAAGGGCTGAGTAATAACGCTATCTATCCACTTCCCATAATCAAACCACAAAGGTCTATTTCTCCTGTTTCTAAACCAATTGCATTTGTGGCTCAAAAGATTTCTTCTCCATTGTGGCATTGCTGATTAGGTCATCCTGCACATTCCATTGTCACTACATCGCTTAATAAGTCTTGTATATCTTTTCCTTGTAACCCTTAATATCAAACTTGTCAAGCTTGTTTGAAAGGCAAGTTTACCAAGCTTCCTTTTCCTGTAATTGCTTCAAAATCCCTTACACCATTTGAAGTAATTCACACAGATGTTTGGGGTCCCTCACCTAGTCTGTCTATAAAAGGTTACAAGTATTATGTTTCCTTTATTGATGAATGTACAAGATATACCTGGATTTTTCCATTAAATAATAAACCTGCAGTGTTCTCTGTGTTTGTCAGTTTTCTTGCTTTTGTCTTTAATTATTTTGCTGCTCATGTGAAAATTTTGCAAAGTGATGGGGGTGGGGAATATGTTAGTACTCAGTTCAAGCAATTTCTTCTTACCAAAGGCATTGTTCATCAAAATTCTTATCCTTATACCCCAGAACAAAATGGGTTGGCTGAAAGAAAAAATCAACATATTGTCGAAACAGCCATTACCCTTTTACAACAAGCTTCATTTCCTTTAATATTCTGGTTCCATGCTTGTGCCACTGCTACTTTCCTTATAAACAGAATGCCCACACCTACCTTACATATGCAGTCTCCTTTTGAAATGTTATATAAATCTCCACCTAAGCTTGATCTCTTGCGAATTTGTGGGTGTTTATGCTATCCTTCACTAAAACCATATAGAAGTAATAAACTTGAACCTAAAACTACTAAGTGCATTTTTCTGGGGTATGCTACACAATATAAAGGGTACATTTGCTTCTCTATCAAAGATCAGAAATTGTTAGTCTTTAGACATGTTGTTTTTTATGAATCCAAGTTCCCTAAAGTTTATGATGCTTTGGGTTTTACTTCTCAAGTTACTTCTAGTCATCCTTCCTCACCAGTGTCTATTGTGCATTCAAACACATTCCTCCATCCACCTAGTATTTCTTCCACATTTCCATTTATTGGTCCCACTTCTCTGACCTCTCAATCACAGCATGTTACTCAGTTGTCATCCTCTCCATTCACTAATTTTGGTGATCTTATCTCCTCTTCCGCAAATGTTGTGCCTTCTTCAGAGGTTGTGCCTACTGTGTATTTAGAAGATAATCCCAATACTATAGTGTCTCAAGTGGATGATCTCCAACTAGTGTGTATCAATGCTCAAAATTGTCATCCCATGCAAACCCGGCCTAAGTCTGGGATTGTGAAAAAGAAGGTGTTTACTGCTCAGGTGAATCAGGCTTCTGACATAAAGGAACCCCAATCTTTTTCTAGTGCAGTCAAGTGTGTTCAATGGAAAAATGCCATGAAAGAAGAGATGGATGCTTTGATTCAACAACATACTTGGAAACTTGTGCCCTTACCACCTCATAAAAGTCTTGTTGGTTGTAAGTGGATCTACAAGATTAAGAGAAATCCAGATGTCAGTGGCTAGGTACAAGGCTAGACTTGTAGCTAAGGGGTATTCTTAAGAAGCTAGTCTTGACTGTTATGAAACCTTCAGCCCTGTGGTCAAACCAACCACAGTTCGATTAGTTCTATCCTTGGCTGCATCTCATAATTGGAAACTAAAACAGTTAGATGTCAAGAATACTTTTTTGCATGGCTTTCTTGAGGAAGAAGTTTATATGTCTCAGCCCCAAGGATTTGTGGATTCTACCTATCCAGATTATTTGTGCAAATTAGAGAGGCCTATATATGGTCTCAAGCAAGCTCCCAGAGCTTGGCATGACAGGTTTTCAGGTTATTTGCTTAAGCTTGGGTTCAAGTCTTCCTATGTAGATCCTTCATTATTTGTCAAGTGTGATGGTTCATCAATTCTTGTTCTCTTATTATATGTTGATGATATCATTCTCACTGGTAGTGAAGCTATGAAGGTTCAAAATGTCATTGGTCAGTTAACTAGTGAGTTTGACATGAAAGATCTTGGTGTATTGCATTATAACAGTGTAAAACCTTAGAAGCTAAGGAAAAACTAAGAGAGAGAAAGTAGAGAGGGAAAGTTTGTTAAATCTGAATAATATTGTTTTCATTCAACTTGTATAAAATAATTACAACTCTTGGTATTTATACATTTGTAACACACTTCACTAAGTAACTAAGACTACTACCAATCATACATAAACACTTGTCATAATCCTATGCACTCATAATATCATCACTCTAATGGAAAACTGGCATATCATCGTTGCAAGCGAGTTACTGGAGACAAATAATAACAATGATTGTCGTGACTTTGACCATTTTGTTCTTATTTGACAAAAACGTTGACCAACCTTGACCTTGCTGCCTTGTTGGTCACTGGTATCAGTCGTTGCTTGCCGGACGACGCGACTCCTCCTCCTCCTCTTCTTCTTCTTCTTCTTCCTCTTCCTGCTGCTGTACTGCGGTAAACCATCGTGGTTTTAACTTTTAAGACGGGGTTAAAGAATAAACAAAATAAATACCTTTTATTATTACAATAAATGTCATTCAAACACTCACAATCCAAAACTTAAACGTGATTATCAAGACCAAAACTTGCATTTTTAAAAAGACACCAAAGTGAAATATTATCAGAGAGCATAAACAAACAAAATATCGTATAAACATCGCCAATTCTCTAGGTAAAATACAGCCTTTTCTAAAACAAAGAAAACTAAACATTTTACACTAACGATGTGAACCTCGTTAAGAGAAACTTATCGAAGAAAACCACGAAAACCAAACTCAGACTTGACAAAATTGATACGGGAGCGAGCTTAACAGGGAGGAGGGGAGTAGAATGCAAAGCAATTTTTGGAGGAAGTGTGAGACTGTTTATGAACTTTGCTATATACATTTCACTTTAAAATCCATCGAAATCAACAACTTAACAAAGTCTTACACACTTTGATTTGCACACACTTGTTTAATGTCTTCTAGAACTTATATATTGTTTTTTGTCAAATGATAAATTTGTTAGATTAAATGTTAGAATAAGGAATTAACGGAGTCAGAACGCATGTCGTGGTGCAACACTCCACCCACCATTGTGATAGAAGACCACTTGTGTCTTCTAAAATTTTTATTGACAACCTATAAACTTTTGTCGACACAAGAAACATCTTATAACATTCCATTGATATCCCGAAATTTTAAAATCCTTTAAAATTATAATTGAATTACTAACTCTAAATAATTCAAGAAGTGTCTTAATTCTAGTCACTACATTATTTTATTCTCGACCATAGTTGTGTATCCAAGGATAATGTTTTCTCCCTTATTTATCTTTATATCTTATCTCTCTATTCAACTCTCTCAGACTTTCTCTTGCCCATACTCCTTTATTCCATCATACAACAAAATCTAGTTCCAAACTGCCACAAGTCACGCCCATATGTTGCCTCGCTGTTTTCCCAATCAACGCCTGACACTCAAAACTTTGGATAGTCTGCTCTAACTTTCCACCCGTCAAGAATCTAATCTGTAGTACGTACCACCACACCGCATCGATCGACATCAAATATATATAAACAAATTGTGACCAAATCACGAATGGTGATGCTCCAGCAGTGTCTCCAGGGCCGACTCAATAACCTTTCAATAACTGCCCTAGTTTCTATACCTTTGTTCGCACTTCATTATTTTCTCGCCTAGCTCATTCAGTACATTTTTAAGCTAATTCCCAAACTAGGTTTTTGTTTCCACATGTTAAGAGAGTCACTCAATCTATTTTCTCCATGGAAATGATAGCCTAGTGAATGTAGTAGTACACGCGCGACTGAACAACTAGGGCCAAAGCACGGTGCGGCCACGAGAGCAATATTAAATTGAAGTAAACTCTTAATACTAGATATGATCTCAAAATAATAAGAGTCAAGGTCGGCCAGTAAAATGGTAGGATGATAACCTTCATCATCGAGAGAAACAATCCAAATCATAATCTAAACTCACTAAATGACCACTCGATGATCAAGGAGGTGGAGTGCAGAGATAGCCAGAAGATTTGCTTAGAAACAGCCATCCTTAAACGAGTGTGTAACGATATTGATCGAGCACTATTGCACAAAAAATAAACTTGCGATGCTGAACAACAGTATAACTATCTCAAACTTTTTCATCTTTTGATTATTAAATTTCTTTTTTGAAAGTGGTAGCTTTTTTAGGCAAAACTTTATCATCACCGTTCGATTCTTTCCTTGCTTCCAAACAAACATGAAATCAAATTCCCAATACAAGATTTAGATTAAACGATCACATGATTCGATTCTTTGCTTCCAAGAAACATCACGCCAATTAATTTACTCCCTAATAAGGAAATTAACTAATTAAGTATCCCACAGAAAAAAAAAAAAAAAAAAAAAAAAGGTCAGAAAAGCAAACCAAAGGAACAATAAAAGGCACCCACGTTCATATCCAGCATTAAACCACTATGTAAATGACATCCCAACGTGCCTAGTGTAACACCTCGACTCTTCAGGTCTTCCCCCACGGGTTTGGATCTCATTCGAAGAAGATTTTTTAGTATGACAGACATATAAAGTGGTACATCACCGTATTATTATACAAATGGTAGGATATGTATGTTAAAAAATTTATAACTTAAAAAATAAAATTTTCCATCACTTATATAAAAACACGTGATGTACCACTCGTGTTCCTGTTATAATAAAAAATTTCTCCTCATCCGAATTCTCCTCATCAGAATCCTTATATCCTATCAATGTATCAAAAATTATTTATAATTTTTTATTTAAAATTAAATACAAATACTGTCTAACTAAAATTAACCGTATAATATCCTAAAGACGAATAGGATGTGAGAGGTCCTCATCCTCCACCGACCGCCACCACGCGGAAACGTACATCATTCGCGTTATCAAAAATTATTTTTAATTTTTTATTTAAAATTAAATACAAATACTGTCTAACTAAAATTGACCGTATAATATCCTAGAGACGAATAGGATGTGAGAGGTCCTCATCTAGGGATGGCAACGGTTCGGTTTGGGGACGGAAAAGCAATATCCATCCCCATAACCACAAAAATTAGCCATACCCATAACCGTAAAATAACCAATCGGGGATTATCCATAACCATATCCACCGGGTAACGGATTTTCAATCGGTTATCGGTTATATCCATTTAATCATACATGAACGAAAATCTAAACACAGAGTCATAGATCAACGAACTGAAAACCAACCAAAAAAAAAAAAAACTGACCTTAAAACAAAGAACAATACACAGAACAGAGAGATGCTGCATCAACAAAATGAAAGAAAATGACAGAGAATGAAACAAATAAAGGAACCCCCAAAACCTGACCAAACAGTGCAACAAAATCCAGATATAATTCACAGCAAAAAGGCTGAAATGATGAAAATATATGCTAACAGTAAAGAATCCAGCCACTCATCCGACATCCAATTACAAAAAACATAACAATATATTGACGACAAAAGAACGAGATATATGCAATTTGCTTCTAGTTCCGCCAAGGCTGCCATCATCATTATTTCATGGTGCTCCTGCAGCTCCTCCTTCACACCCATCAATGGAGCATGAATCCTACATTATTAAGAAAATGACGAAATAGTTAATATGAATTGTTGTACATATATAATCTACAAAGAAGATATTTATATACATATAATATAATTGCCAATACTTACCTCATCCATATCCATTTCTTCAAAATAAGTGCAGCAACCAACGTGTGCATTAGAACAAGAAGCTAGTTGTGAAACATGAAATTGAAGACTTAAATTAGTTCTAAAAACTGAATGCATACTAATTAATTAAGTTTGAAAAATAAGTTCGAAATTAAGATTAAAGAACATGCACAGCAGCACAAATACAACAACAACAACAACAAAGCCTTTTCCCACTAAGTGGGGTCGGCTATATGAATCCTAGAACGCCATTGCGCTCGGTTTTGTGTCATGTCATCCGTTAGATCCAAGTACTCTAAGTCTTTTCTTAGAGTCTCTTCCAAAGTTTTCCTAGGTCTTCCTCTACCCCTTCGGCCCTGAACCTCTGTCCCGTAGTCACATCTTCGAACCGGAGTGTCAGTCGGCCTTCTTTGCACATGTCCAAATCACCGGAGCCGATTTTCTCTCATCTTTCCTACAATTTCGGCTACTCCTACTTTACCTCGGATATCCTCATTCCCAATCTTATCCTTTCTCGTGTGCCCACACATCCCACGAAGCATCCTCATCTCCGCTACACCCATTTTGTGTACGTGTTGATGCTTCACCGCCCAACATTCTGTGCCATACAACATCGCTGGCCTTATTGCCATCCTATAAAATTTTCCCTTGAGCTTCAGTGGCCTACGACGGTCACACAAACACGCCGGATGCGCTCTTACACTTCATCCATCCAGCTCGTATTCTATGGTTGAGATTTCCATCTAATTCTCCGTTCTCTTGCAAGATAGATCCTAGGTAGCGAAAACGGTCGCTTTTTGTGATCTTCGCTAGATTGCTCCGGTCATTAGTGTGGATAAGTATATAAATGGATAGAGATAGGAAAGCAAACACAAGATGTACGTGGTTCACCCAGATTGGCTACGTCCACGGAATAGAAGAGTTCTCATTAATTGTGAAGGGTTTACACAAGTACATAGGTTCAAGCTCTCCTTTAGTGAGTACAAGTGAATGATTTAGTACAAATGACATTAGGAAATATTGTGGGAGAATGATCTCGTAATCACGAAACTTCTAAGTATCGGAGTGTGGTGTCGTCTTGACTTGCCTTATCTGTCTCATAGGTAGATGTGGCATCTTCTCTGGAAGTACTTTTCCTCCATCCAGGGGGTGGTATCTTTAACTGGTGGAGATGCACAAGGTAATGTATCAATTTCACTTGAAGCTTACTTGTAGTTTCAGGCTTGGTCAAGCGCGATACAAACCATGTAGTAGGAGTCCCCCAAGTCGCCGAGCTAGGGGGTCTGCTGAAAGAGGTGACAGACAAGGTAAGCAATCAGAGCTCCGACTGATTGTTCACCTTCTCCCCATCTTGCAACAGCATGAAGGATAAAGAGAAGAAAAATGAGAAGAGATGATATGAGATACTTTTGCTTTTGAAGAAGTAACTTTCCACAGGCTTATTCTTGAACTGAGCTGGAGGGTTTTCTGGTTTCCTCCAGAGTATAAGGCCGACTGAAGAATTTGAGGGTCAAAACAAGTCCATCAAATCTAGAGTACGTTCCACCCTGCTGATATGGGATACTTTTGCTTTTGACAGAGTAATGGATGTATCGGCACGTGTGCTGTTACGCTTGTCTCCACATGCTTCCTTGTATCCTTCGCACTTGCCCTATCTGTTCCTCAAGCAGATGCGGAATCTTCCTTGGAAACATAAGATGTTGAAGATGAGTACTCGAGAGCAATGCCAGGTAAGTAATCAGGTAAGGGGTTCCAGGCAGTCAGTTCCTGGCTGGAAGCTTGATTCCAAGTGCTGACTGATTGCTCTCTTTCTCCTTGTCTTGCAGGTAAAAACAAGGCCAAAGGAAAAAGATAGGGAAAAAGCATGATATGGGATACTCTTGCTTTTAACCCTGATGATATGAGATATTCTTGCTCTAGTATAGCTTGTTTGCAGAGGTATTATCGGGGGGAAAGAAAGCTGAATATTTCGAAAGGCTTCGTTGGGAGTGCCCTCTCAGATATGATGAAGGGTTGAGCATTTTTGCAGGTCTGCCTGTCCGTTGGGGATGGAGGTTGACATATATAGGCGTCTCCCTAACAACAAGTAGTAATGCTATTCCTTTACCCTGCTTGGTCATAGCACGGTAGTGGGAGCTGTCAGTTTCACATGTTTTAACTCTGTCAGAGCACTTTGAAAAAGTGGTCTGTGGTATCTGGCTCTCGAGATTCGGAGAACGATGCCTCTTCGATTTTTGAGAAAGCAATCATGCTGGGGGTCTGGCTCTCGAGATTCGGAGGGCAATGTCTCTTCGATTTTTGAGTAAGTAATCATGTTGGGAGTCTGGCTCTCGAGATTCGGAGGGCGGTGCCTCTTCGATTTTGGAGCAAGCAATCTTGTTGGGAGTGTTGTCTCGAATTTGAGTAAAGGTTGGGCATGTTTGCTAGTCTACATTGCCACGAAGCACAAAGATTGACACACAGGGACTTTCCAATTATCCAGCAATGGTACTGTTCCTTTACCCTCTCTTTCGATTTTGAGAAAGTAGTCATGTTGGGAGTCTGGCTCTCGAGATTCGGAGGACGGTGCCTCTTCGATTTTGGAGCAAGCAATCTTGTTGGGAGTGTTTTCTCGAATGTGAGTAAAGGTTGGGCATGTTTGCTAGTCTACCTTGCCACGAAGCACAGAGGTTGACACACAGGGACTTTCCAATTATCCAGCAGTGGTACTGTTCCTTTACCCTTGTGGGTAATATTATGGTAGCTAGACCTTCAAAATTTATGTGTCTAAACTTTGTTAGTGCTGTTTCTTTGCTATTCTTTTACCTTTCTTGGTCAGAGCGATGTAGTGGGAGCTGCAAGCTTCACGTGCTCAACTTTGGCAGAGAACTTTGACAAAGTTATATGTGGTACCCATGAGCTATTGTTGCGTGTGGGAAGTGGGTAATTGAACAGTAAGATTCATGTGCTTTCTACTTCACTAGAAATCTTCGACAGAATGCCCATAATTTCTGCAAAGCTGAGTGTGCGTGTGACAGGTGCTGACAAGGCTAGAAAAGTAGGTGCCTCTTCGATTTCTGAGATCGGCCCTCGTGGTCTCTGAGCAGCCCAGCTTTTGAGAAAGCGAGCGCCTCTTCGATTGATTCGGAGAACGATGCCTCATCGATTTTTGAGAAAACAATCATGCTGGGGGTTTGGCTCTCGAAGATTCGGGGAGCAGTGTCTCTTCGATTTTTGAGAAAGTAATCATGTTGGGAGTCTGGCTCTCGAGATTCGGAAGGCGGTGCCTCTTCGATTTTGGAGCAAGCAATCTTGTTGGGAGTGTTTTCTCGAATGTGAGTAAAGGTTGGGCATGTTTGCTAGTCTACCTTGCCACGAAGCACAGAGGTTGACACACAGGGACTTTCCAATTATCCAGCAGTGGTACTGTTCCTTTACCCTTGTGGGTAATAATATGGTAGCTAGACCTTCAAAATTTATGGGTCTAAACTTTGTTAGTGCTGTTTCTTTGCTATTCTTTTACCCTTCTTGGTCAGAGCGATGTAGTGGGAGCTGCAAGCTTCACGTGCTCAACTTTGGCAGAGAACTTTGGCAAAGTTATCTGTGGTACCCATGAGCTATTGTTGCGTGTGGGAAGTGGGTGATTGAACAGTAAGATTCATGTGTTTTTCTACTTCCCCAGAAGTCTTCGACAGAATGCCCATAATTTCCGCAAAGCTGAGTGTGCGTGTGACAGGTGCTGACAAGGCTGGAAAAATAGGTGCCTCTTCGATTTCTGAGATCGGACCTCGTGGTCTCTGGGGAGCCCAGCTTTTGAGAAAGCGAGCGCCTCTTCGATTTCTGAGATCGGCCTTCGTGGTCTTTGAGCAGCCCAACTTTTGAGAAAGCAAAAGCCTCTTCGATTTCTGAGATCAACCCTCGTGATCTCTAAGCAGCTCAGCTTTTGAGAAAGCAAACGCCTCTTCGATTTCTGAGCAGGCGCCTCTTCGATTTCTGAAGCTCCGTCGAGTGCAGATTTTTATAGGGGCTGGCATTAAGTTCTAAAGCACACTTGAATCTCCACCAGTAGAAGCTTCATTCTTGCACTTCTAAGATCTTGATTTGTCCGACCTCTTCTCTCTTCAACACCTTTGAAAATGTCTGGCCCCTCCGACCGTCGTTTTGACTTGAACCTTGTTGAAGAGGCAGCCCCGCCTTCTCCAGACAACATATGGCGCCCATCCTTCGTCTCCCCTACTGGTCCTCTTACCGTTGGGGATTCCGTGATGAAGAATGATATGACCGCTGCGGTGGTGGCCAGGAACCTTCTCACTCCCAAAGATAACAGACTACTTTCCAAACGGTCTGATGAGTTAGCTGTTAAGGATTCACTGGCTCTCAGTGTTCAGTGTGCAGGTTCTGTGTCTAATATGGCCCAACGCCTATTTGCTCGAACCCGCCAAGTTGAATCATTGGCGGCTGAAGTGATGAGTCTCAAACAGGAGATTAGAGGGCTCAAGCATGAGAATAAACAGTTGCACCGGCTCGCACATGACTATGCTACAAACATGAAGAGGAAGCTTGACCAGATGAAGGAAACTGATGGTCAGGTTTTACTTGATCATCAGAGATTTGTGGGTTTGTTCCAAAGGCATTTATTGCCTTCGTCTTCTGGGGCTGTACCGCGTAATGAAGCTCCAAATGATCAACCTCTGATGCCTCCTCCTTCTAGGGTTCTGTCCAGTACTGAGGCTCCAAATGATCCCCCTCCGGTGCCTTCTCTTTCTGGGGCTCTACCGACTGCTGAGACTTCTCCTAAGCAACCTTTGTGAAGGCTCCCTCTTGTGTGTTTATTTTGACTCATGTATATGTACATATTTGTAGCTTATCGGGGATATCAATAAATAAGCTTTCCTTCATTTCAACGTATTGTGTTAAATACACCAAAGCCTTCTTCGCTAAGTTCTTTGAATTTTCTTTTTGTTGAAGCTTGTATGTTAAAGCTTTCTGAGTGGAGCATGTAGGTTGGGGTAGTGTTCCCTTAATTTCCCGAGTGAGGAAAACTTCTCGGTTGGAGACTTGGAAAATCCAAGTCACTGAGTGGGATCGGCTATATGAATCTTAGAACGCCATTGTGCTCGATCCTGTGTCATGTCCTTCGTTAGATCCAAGTACTCTAAGTCTTTTCTTAGAGTCTCTTCCAAAGTTTTCCTAGGTCTTCCTCTACCCCTTCGGCCCTGAACCTCTGTCCCATAGTCGCATCTTCTAATTGGAGCGTCAGTAGGCCTTCTTTGCACATGTCCAAACCACCGTAACCGATTTTCTCTCATTTTTTCCTTCAATTTCGGCTACTCCTACTTTACCCCCGGATATCCTCATTCCTAATCTTATCCTTTCTCGTGTGCCCACACATCCAACGAAGCATCCTCATCTCCGCTACACCCCATTTTGTGTACGTGTTGATGTTTCACCGCCCAACATTCTGTGCCATACAGCATCGCCGGCCTTATTGCCGTCCTATAAAATTTTTCCCTTGAGCTTCAGTGGCATACGGCGGTCACACAACACGCCGGATGCACTCTTCCACTTCATCCATCCAGCTTGTATTCTATGGTTGAGATCTCCATCTAATTCTCCGTTCTTTTGCAAGATAGATCCTAGGTAACGAAAACGGTCGCTCTTTGGCATTCTTGATCTCCGATCCTCACCCCTAACTCGTTTTGGCCTCCATTTGCACTGAACTTGCACTCCATATATTCTGTCTTTGATCGGCTTAGGCGAAGACCTTTAGATTCCAACACTTCTCTCCAAAGGTTAAGCTTTGCATTTACCCCTTCCTGAGTTTCATCTATCAACACTATATCGTCTGCGAAAAGCATACACCAAGGAATATCATCTTGAATATGTCCTGTTAACTCATCCATTAGCGACAACCTGATCATACAAATCTTTGGAAAATAAAGATTGGCTGTAGGGTACTTAGTTCCAGAAAACAACTCGGAGACATTATAAAACAACTTTAACTTCTCACAAATCTCTCTTGCCATCTCCCAATCTCTATCATCAGGCAAACACTTATATGGTGACTCTCGTTGTTTCAAACGAGGGAAAACATCCTTGTAAATCAAAGCAGATTGAATCATTAAAAAGGTGGAATTCCACCGAGTTTTACAATCAAGCACCATTTTCTTAGTGCCTGGAAGCTTCAACTGACGTGCTGCTTCCTCAAATTTTTCCTCTCTTTTTTGTGTTGCTGTCCAATAAACAACACTCTCACGAATTTTCTCAATACCACCACCAATAACTTGGAGACCATCCTTCACAATTAAGTTTAATATATGTGCACAACAACGCACGTGAAAGAACCCTCCACCCAACAAAAGTGAACTACCAGAAAGTTTTTCAAGAATAAGATCAATCATTTTATCATTTGTAGTGCAATTATCTACTGTTAAGGTAGAAAGCTTACGATCGAGGTTCCAATCTAGCAAGCACTCCATCAAAACATCTAAAAGTGTCTCGGCGGTATGCGGACAAGGCACATAAATAAATCTGAAAAAATGACAATGAAGATGGTTACAATAAACAATCTGAAATATAAATCTAAAGTTAGACAACAATTAAATAGAAGTTAAAGTATTAAAAATATCACCTTATTATTCGGCTCTGCAACGTCTAAGAGTCATCAATAAAATGAGATGTTATTACCATAAATCCTCTGTTCTGATTACTTGTAGTCCACATATCAGTAGTTATGGCAATTCTACTCTTATTTTCATCCAACAATTGCATTGTTTTCAAACGCTCATAATCATATATTTTGAGGATATCACTCTTGATTGTGTTTCTTGAAACAACCTTAAACAACGGTTGGACAACACTCATGAAGTTTCTAAATCCAACATGCTCAACCATGGAAAGAGGATACTCATGCAATATTATCATTTGGGCGAGAGCTCTCCTTGCACTTTCTTGGTCAAATGTATACAACTCTACTTTCCCATCTCCTACTTTTTGGGTTAGTGTTTGCTTCAAATTTTTTTGTCTCCGACGTGGACATATCGTCACATGATGCCTCAAATGGCTGGTTCCATTTCCAGTGTTCCCACCAAGCTTCTTGCTACAATAATTACATATTGCTTTCATCACCCCATCAACTAGTGTTCTTGTGTAATGTTGCCACACCAAACTGCGAAGTCTCGAATTATTACCTTCACCATCATCACCCCCAGGTTCCTCAATCTCACCAGCGACCTCATTTGGAGTTGGTATATCTTGGGGCTGAGCAATTTGACTTGGTATTTCTTGTTGCACAACACTTGGATGCAATGTAGGTGCTAGATTACAATCAGTTGGGGTACATATTGTTTCTTCTTGAGACTTAAATTTTCTTTTAGACATTTTGATTGCTGCAAACACAACCAAATCCATTAATATGTAAACAAAGATATGGTATAATACTGAAATTGAGTCAATTAACATGTAAACTAAATATATAACAATAAACAAGAAGACAATTATTGATTTAACAAGCAAAACCAATACCCATTTAATCATACACCAACGAAAAATCTAAACACAAGAGTCACAAATTAACGAACTAAAAACCCACAAAAAGAACCAAAAAAAAAAAATGAAGAAACTGACCTTAAAACAAAGAACAATACACAGAACGGAGAGATCAGAGATGCATCCCCAACAGTAGAGAATCGAATTAAGAATTGAACATAGCTCAAAAACACTTACCCTTCAACGTTTGGAGCCTTAGAAAACTTTATGATGTTCACGCAAATATTTTTAGGTCTAAATGCATCCACCTATCATGCAAACCAAAAATGGAAATGCATTAACACAAATGCCAAAACCGATTTCTAAGATTTAGTATTCTCTTTACCCTTGCAACCAAAAAACAAAAATTGCAGAAAAATGAGCAAGAAGCTAAAGTAGAAAAAATCATATTTTCAACCACCAAAACCCAATACCCATTTAACCTGAGATTTCAGTGTTTTCTTTACCCTTGCAACTCAAAACAAAAAATCCCAGGAAAATGAGCAAGAAGCATAAGCAAGAAAAAAACATATTTTCAACCACCAAAACCCAATACCCATTTAATCATACACGAACAAAAATCTAAACACAGAGTCATAGATCAATGAACTGAAAACCAACCAAAAAAAAAAAAACTGACCTTAAAACAAAGAACAATACACAGAACAGAGAGATGTTGCATCAACAAAATGAAAGAAAATGACAGAGAATGAAACAAATAAAGGAACCCCCAAAACCTGACCAAACAGTGCAACAAAATTCGGATATAATTCACAGCAAAAAGGCTGAAATGATGAAAATATATGCTAACAGTAAAGAATCCAATAAAAAAAGGAACTTAGCTTTCGAAATCCAGCCACATCCAACACGCAAAAGGGAATGGACTATCCAGAGTGATTCATGGACTGACACTGAGGGAGTCCCGGAGTCGACGAGGGACCTTACTCGTCTCTGTTCACCATCCCAACCCCTCCCTTTTTTTTTCTCTCCCTATTATCCGGACTACCACTCTCTCTTCTCTTTCTCTCACTGTCACTCTCTTTTTCTCTCACCCGTGCCAGGATCGGCAGCATGCATAGCCTTACCTGCGCAGCTGCGCCCAAGAAAGAAGATTCAATTCAAGTCCTAATCTGAAAGACTGAAACCCTATGATAAAAAGATGATTCTAGTTCTACCCCTCTAACTCATCATCCTCACCGTAGGATCTGAAGATGAGATGGACAATCATGTCATTTTACACAACTGCTAAATCAGTGAATCCCGGACCCGGTTGGAAAATTGAATTTTTAAGAATTAATTGAATAAAATATAATATATATCAAATATATATATATATATATATATAAAATATTCGGTTCGGATTCGGGTACGGATATGGATTGGATACCCCTATAACCATATCCAAACCCATAACCAAATAAAGTTCACGGTTTTTCCCCATATCCAAACCATACCCGAATTTTCATATCCAAACCTAATCCATTCGGGCGATTATCCACGGGTATCGGGTTTCACGGTTAAAATTGCCATCCTCATCCTCCACCCACCGACACCACGCGGAAACGTACGTCATTCACTAATAACGCGTAGGCCACAAGAAATACCCCTATAGTAATTAACACTGTAAATACAATTTATTGTACGAATATTAAAGTTCTCACGTGTCCCGTCTCTTATCTATCTATTTGTTTGTAAACTCTCATTGGTCAAAATGGGTATTTAATAGGAAGATAATTGACTTGGACGTTCGTCTTTTATGTATCAACTGTCTTTATTTTTAACTAAAAACTATGTTTTTTTTGTTCGAAGTTAAACTCATTTAACGGTTTGATTGGAGCATGTAAGAGTCATACTGCTTCCATTTTGCCACCAATTACAAGGTATACAAGTTTTTTATTATTTATTTTATTTTTTTATTTTAATCTCAACTCTTGTTATAATTTTTCTTCTAATCACGCGATATTCTAAATTATCATACATCTTATACGTGTTATGCCAAGTCTAATTATTGTTGAAGCAATTGTTTTTGTTTGAATTTTTAAATTGGTGTTGTAGTCTATTTTATCTGACAATGAGAGAGAGGGTCGACTGCAAGGAGAAGAAGAGAGAGAGATGTGTTTGTAGAATTGTAAGGGAATGTGTGTGTTGTTATCCCTCCTACATTGTGCCTTTATTAATAGTTATAAAAATGAGAGAAGATATTCCTTCATCCCCAAGGAATACAAGATACAATAGGAAAGGATACCTAGAATCAAATATAATCTAGGATTTACACAATCACACTTAAACTAGGAATGTTTACAACTCTCACCCCTTGAGTGTGTAAATACTCAAGGTAGACTTAGCATCATGTAGAAGTTGAGGAAGTCGACTCATCGGCACTGATTCTAAGGAACAACACTTATTCTCAATAAGGTAGGAATTTGCATAAGTAGTATGTCTCACTAAAAAACCCTAAGGTTATGGCAAAAACCTGAGGAGGGACAAAATCCATAGTCTAAGGAAAAATGTGTGAGAAATGCAAAACTCAAAGAAACGTCCACAGGACGTCATCATGGATATGACCAGCCCAAGGTGGGTGCCTCGTTAAAACCTAGTTAGGTAGCAAAAACCCAGTGGGAAAAATGCTCCTAATCGTAGGGAAAAAGAGTACATTAAAATCAAGCAAGTATCTACAGGATACTCCCTGAGTTTGACATAATTCCAAAGAGAAATAGCAAAGTTAAAACTCAGAAAGTTTACGCATACCAATTCCATGAACAAGCTTCTGAAATGTCGTTTTCGGCAGTGATTTAGTGAAGAGGTCAACCAGATTGTCTTGTGAACTAATTTGTCTGACTTTAATCTTCTGATGGTCTTGTTGTTGATGTGAAAAGAAAAATTCGACGCAATGTGCTTGGTGTTGTCTCCTTTGATGTAACCCTTCTTGAGCTTCGATGCAAGCTACGTTGTCTTCAAAGATCGTCGTTGGGACATCAATGACGGGATGAAGATCGCAGGAGCTTCGAATATGGCCCACTACTGCTCTCAACCAAAAGCATTACCGAGTTGCTTCATGTAAGGTGAGAATTTCAGCATGGTTAGACGAAGTGGCAACTAAGGTCTGTTTAGTTGACCTCTAAGATATTGCGGTGCCTCCAACGGTAAAGACATAACCCGTTTGAGAGCGCGCTTTGTGCGGATCGGATAAGTATCCTGCATCGACATAACCAACAAGGCCATAATCAACAAGGAATAAGATGAACTAGACGCTCAAGACAAATCTTCAAAAATTAGAATATCAACACATATATTGGTTAAAAAAAACGAATATCAACACATATATTCGATCAAGAGATAATTGAAGCAATGATTTCTCAATTTTAACTCAATTACAGTTTTAGTTTCAGAACTAAAAATTCATGAATATTAGTCCATGAATTTGTAATGATGTAAAACAATGGTAATTTTGGCTAACTCTTTTAGAACTTCCATTCATCTTTTGCCCCTTTAAACCATTTATTCTAGAGAAAGTTATATCAGAGTTAGCAAAAAGATCATTGCTCTACATTATAACAAATTCATGATTAATACTCACGGGTTTTTAATTTAGCCAAAACTCCAATTTGGCTAAAGTTTAGGGAAATTGTTGTAATTTTCTATACTAGAAGCGGACAATCTAGGAAGTTTCCCGGGTTTGAAGGTGAGGGGGAATATTTTGAAATTACCTTTTTGGCCTTGTCCAAAGTATCCTTCCTATTCGTACGGTGCCTTGTTTCACTGGTATTTTGAGAATGTAGTAGGAAGTTTCCCGGTGGAGTCTCTCGAAAACTGAAAAAGAGAACGCACTATCAAGCTACACATAGTAGTCAAACTTTTCCGGTTTTGATATTGGATCCCCAACGTTTCTGCCAAGGTTTAGAGAAAGTGGAGAGCCGGAGCGTTTTCGAGAGCAAGAAAGTGCGGCGGAGCGGAGGGAGGTTCGGGGCCGGAAGTTGCACTAGTTTTTACTATGGAAACTGATTTTCCTATGGGTTAGACATTTGTCGATCATATGTATAATGTAATAGTGTAAGGTAAGCAGTGCCAAAACTGATTCTTACACACACTTCGTTTAATTTATACGCATGGATGGATAAGCAGTGCCAAAACCAATTGACAAGCAAATTCCCCCCTAGATCTATTTTAGCTTATATATAAATCTGCTGTATCCAGTTTACATTAGTCCGTTTTGATTGAGAGTACTGCATGCTGTACGTAGAGTAATTACTGGAAATTATTTCAGAGCATGCACTCTTACTCTTAGACAAGAAAAATAATATATACAGCTTTCAAAAAAAAAGAAAAATAATATATACGTCCATGGTGGATTATTAATAGCAGGTCAGGCTTCTTATGTATATAAGATTTGGCGATGCAGAGATATTGATCATCATCGTTTTTTCTTCTGAAAATATATCAGACAACACTTCGGCGGTGTTCTGAATATATATTCTGCAAAATCTGGTACGTACTAATTTACTTAATCGGCTTTAATTAATTAATTTTCAGCGTTTATTCATAACTGGAAGAAAAATATATGTATCAGATTCAGACAGAAAAGAAAAATTTAGAATAATATAATATGTATTGATATTAAGCAATAAACAAATTAAGATCTAGGGAAAAATGGGAGGAGGGAGAGTTATTGCCTTAAGTCATCATCTTGTTTTGTTTCTTCCTGTTTATTTACTTTTTCGTACATATTTAAAATGCCACTTCTTGCCTGGGCTCCAAAATATTTTGACCAAACTTTTCCAGCTGTAGTAATTTTATCTCCTCTCTGTTGGAGTTTTATACCTTAATTTAACTTCCACCCTAAAAAATGTTTTTATAATATTTTCTACTCCATTCTTACATGAATTTGGATTAATATGCCGACCCAAAGTTTCCCAGTGGAGTCTCTCGACTGAAAAAGTGAACGCACTATCAAGCTACACATAGTAGTCAAACTTTTCCGCTTTTGGTTTTGGATCCCCAACGTATCTTCCAGGTTTAGAGAAAGTGGAGAGCCGGAGCGTTTTCGAGAGCGAGAAAGTGCGGCGGAGCGGAGGGAGGTTCGGGGCCAGAAGTTGCACTCATTTTTACTATGGGTTAGACAGTAGGAAAATCAGTGACGAGCGTTCGAGTTTGCGAAAATTTGAAGTGAAATTGGAGATTCGGGAGCTGAAATTTGGTTCGGAGAGTGAGAATTTGTGAGTGTGAGAAGGTTTTCGAGTGGTTGGGTGCAACTAACAGCGTCATCTCTCCTGCGACAGGTTTTTAACGATGAATCAATCGAGAGGCTCACCTTCGGATTTGAAGGCCAGCGGCAGCCGCTCCGGTGACTTGGACGGCGAGTCCTCGTCCAGTCCGTTTTATATTGCCAGAACTAAGGATGCTCCGGTCCATCGCCTCAAGCGCTGGAGGGTATGCTTTCCAATTTGTATTACATTTTGCAGTTTTACAGGTCATTTGTATATATTTTATTTATTTATTTGCTACTTGTTCTTCAGCTCTGTATATGTTGATGCTGTTTTAGAGGTGTATTTTTTGTTCATACCCTTTTAGGATGATCTGCCAATTTAGTCATTGAATTATTTTTTCGGTAAAAAAGTTCCTAAATTCATTAAAAATTGGTATTTCATCATACTATTATATTCAAAGTTATTTTATCCCATTTTTGGTAAACTTAAATCACTTGACACACTTTAGAATGAAATACTATCATTTTATCGCCTATAAGTCCTTAACATTTCATATAGGTTGCTAATCTAACGTCTAATTTAACTCCCAAAGTTAACTCCATACATGCAGGTAACATGACTTAAATTGATGAACAATTGAATATAGTAGTTTTGAATCTAATATTAGAGATGTAATTGGCAGATTTTTATAATTCAAGGACTAATTTTTCTCAAAAAATAGTTTAAGGATCTATTGTTCACTGAGATGATAATTTAGGGACTAAATTGGTAGTTCACCCTATATTTGTGTACGTATCTTCCTCTGCGGTTTCGGTTTTGGATTCTAATGTCGGTTTTCGGTACTAATGGCAAATTTCTATTAATAGTGTAGTTGCTCCCTCTATGTGGAAAAGATTAGTCTCATTTTTTAGGGAGAGGGGAAAAGGGCTTTTCGAAACGGTTTTTTAGGTTTAGTATGGCTAGAGTTATAAGTTTAACCTATAAAGTAGTGGATGTACAGTTGAAATAAAATCGGAAAGTTCTACGAGTATCTTTGGTATAAGGGTGTTACCAAATGAAATTATGATTTTTGAGGTTCTATGTTTTAAAAGGCTCGCCTCAAGGCGCACCTAGGCGCCCTGTGAGGTAAGGCTTGAGGGTTGCCGCTTCTGTTTTTAGGGAGTGGGCGGAAAGCACCGGAAGGCGTCGTCGGAGCCGCCTAGGCGCGCCTCAGGGATTTATTTTTTTTTTACTCCCAAACCCAAATTTTGGGTAGGGTTTTAACTACCTCATACCTCTTCCTTGCACTATCATCTCTCTACCTTGTTTTCTGATTTTTATTTTTTATATAATGGATGTGTGTGCCGTCTACGTGTATTGTTATATGTGTACTCATTGTGCTTTTCATCATCTATTTTATATATATAATATAGTATATGTGTATATATCTATATATATGTGTGTGTGTATGTATTTATAATATATTTGTGTGCTCAGGATGATTATTGATTAATAATCTTCTTCTTTTTTTAATATAATATGTGTGTACGCTCAGTGTATATATTAAAAAATTTAGGTCCTGTGAGGCTTCGCCTCACACCTCACGCCTAGGTTATGCTATTCCTTGGACACCTCACCCGCGCCTCACGCTTTTAATACATTCCTTTGTATATTTGTTTATGTATTTAACCGTGGGGACGTGTGATGAGTGACTCTTGACTTCCCCATGTATGATTGATGGGAGTTATATACGTATTTGTTCATGTTTCAATCTTCTCAATTTAATGGTTTGGTTAATAGCAACAAATTGCCAAAGGAAATTACTATATTGGATATGATAATGAAACACAAAATGCCCATCTTTCAAGGGAATTTATACCCTAGATGCCACCAGGTCAGGCTTGGTGAGAGTCCATGAAATAGCTGGTTTCCATGTACTTTTAAACTAAAAATTGGAAATTTCGTTTGGGTGCTTAGTTTACATTTTTAGCGGAAGTCATTTGTTTTATTTGATTTGATCGGATCTTTTTATCGAGACTTTTGGCTAAACTATTTTTTTTGTTTTGTTGTAGCATGCGGCACTTGTGCTGAATGCTTCTCGTCGATTCCGGTACACCTTAGACTTGAAAAAGGAAGAAGAAAAGCAGCATACACTAAGGAAGATTAAAGCACATGCACAAGCCATACGAGTAATTCACTTCAAAATAAACGTGTCATATGTCACTCATGTCCTACTATCCTAACATATGATTTTTCTTTATTTTTAAAATAGGCTGCATATCTTTTCAAGGAAGCTGCAGATCAACAAGTGAATGGTACTTTTTTTATTATTTTAATTTCCATTAATTCTTTGCAAACATTATCTGTGTGAAAAAAAAATGCAGCATTAATTTGATATTGCCACATGCTTCAATTATTTAGATCCAACAGTGGTATGATACTAGTAGAAGAGTATTTATTTCGAAAAATTATCTCACTGAATAAATTGCTGTAGTTCTCGAGCATGCCATTGTTCAGTTCTGGGCAAGTGTGTGTAGTCTTGCCTCACTCTTCTTGTAGAATACCTGGTAACAAGCAGATGTTTGATTTCCTATATTGTGCATATGTTCCTATTGTAAACATTCATTTTTCTTTCCCAAGACGCTATGGCAATTTGTTTGTCATGCTCTGTTCATTTCCGGTTCACTGTCATTTAAATTGTTGTTGGATTTGTAAGGTTGCTTTCTTGTTTCATTTTTTAAGGATTGTGTTTTAGACATTTCTCTCATTCGCTCCACCATCATGATGCATAAATCCTGTTGTGTAAACTGTTCTTTGCGATAGTTCTATAGTCAACTTGTTGCTTCTTATTGTCAGGGATTGTAGTACCGAAACCAAGTCCTACTGGCGATTTTCCCATTGGACAAGAGGAACTAGTTTCAGTGACGAGGGATCATAAATTTGCTGCTCTTCAACAATATGGGGGGGCAAGTCCACCACATAACCCCTTTCATGATCTGAAGTTGGTACATAAACACTGTTGCTTATATTTGTTCTGTTGTTTTCTTACATCAGGTCACAGGCTTAGGGGACTTGTTGAAAACAAATCTCGACAAGGGAATTCATGGAGATGATATTGATTTACTAAAACGGAAAAATGCATTTGGGTCGAACACATATCCTCGGAAAAAGCAAGAAGTTTCTGGGTAAATTTGCTACAGTTGTGAACTTTTGAAGTTTCTGCATTGGATATAATAAGGAAAAAAGGAGGAAATTTTTTTCTGTTATAATAAATTTCTTTTTTCTTTTTCTGTCTGATAGAGATTTCTTTGGGTAGCTTGTCAAGATCTTACTCTGATCATATTGATGGTAGCTGCAATGGCTTCTTTAGCGCTGGGTATAAAAACAGAGGTGAGCTGGCATTGGCTGCTTAATAGCCGCGTCCTTCATCACAGTAGGATGTGTTCTGATAATGTCCTGTTTGTTTTGAAGTCTTGAGTTATTGTTGTAGCATGATTTGTCTTTTCTTAAAGACTACACCCTTGATTTGTCTTTTTTAAAATACTGCACCCTAGTTGATTGCATATATTGCGAAGGCCATGGTGTTCCAAATTTAGAGAAATGACCTCTATCATTAATCAATGTTTTAAAAAACTAGTTTGAGACCAGCCTAGGCAGTTTTTTGGGCGGTGCTATCAAGAAAATGCCTCTGCCCAGCGGGAGTGGGCTATATTCCGTCTTGGCGTCGGGGAGGCGAGATGTGGGCGTTCGATTTTTTATTTCTAACCTTTGTTTTTTACAAAAGCTAAACCCAAAATGATGTCGTTTTGGGCAGGGTTTTTTACAACTGAAATAGTGTCTCTCTCACTTTGCGTTTGCGTAAAAGAACACAGAGCAAGAGCAGCAGGTCAGCGACAGCCTGCAAATGTCTCGCAGCCATGTGTGGGATTCCACGGCTAGTTGCACCCGAAAAGTAGCAAAAGAGGTATTAGGAGAGTCCAAGGGTTTTGCTCCACACCAAAAGGAATCTTGGTGGTGGAAGGAAGAGGTACAGACAAAAGTGAATGTTAAGAAGGAATGTTGTAAAGGCTAATACAAGGATAGAACCGACGAAAATTGTGAAAGTTATAGAATAGTGAAGGAAGCGAAGAAAGCTGTGAGAGAAGCAAAGCTAGCGGCTTTTGACAATATAAGTGACTGGATACCAAAGAAGGAGAGTTGTATATCTATAAACTAGCTAGAGTAAGGGAAAAGAAGACAAGAGACCCGAAACAAGTGAGGTGCATCAAGGATGAGAATGGAAAGGTTCTTGTTTAATGAAGGATATGAAAGAAGTACTTCTTTGGGGGAATTGAGTAACTCAGAAGAGTGTAGAAACTACTCCTTCTACCGCTGTATTGGGAAGGAAGAAGTGGTTGTAGTTTTGAAAAAGATGAAGCATAGAAAAGCAGTGGGCCCATATGATATACTGATCGAAGTGTGGAAAGTCTTGAGAAAGACGGGTATATCATGGCTCACAAACCATTTCAATAAGATTTTGAAAACGAAGAAGATGCCAAATGAGTGCCGAAAGAGCACTTTGGTGCCTATCTTCAAGAATAAGGGCGACGTACAAAATTGCATGTATTAAGTTAATAAGGCATACCATGAAGCTCTGAGAGAGTAATTAAGCATAGACCGAGGCATGAGAGACAGGTCTCGGACAATGAATTTGGGTTCATGCCAAGACGCTCAACCATGGAGGCAATCTATCTCTTATGAAGATCGATGGAAAGATATAGAGATATTAAAAAGGATTTGCACATGGTCTTTGTAGATTTGGAAAATGCGTATGATAGGGTACAAGAGACATTCTTTGGAGGATTTTAGAGAAGAAAGGAGTACGAGTAGTATATATTCAAGCTATAAAGGAAATGTATTATGGAGTAAGGACTGTCGTAAGAACTTATGAAGTACAAACCGGAAGATTTCCCATAACTATAGGGTTACATCAAGGCTCATCTTTAAGTCCTTCCCTTTTTGCATTAGTAATGGCTGAGTTGACGAAACATATTCAAGATGATATTCCTTGGTGTATGCTTTTCGCAGATGATATAGTGTTGATAGATGAAACTCACGAAGGAGTAAATGTGAAGCTTAACCTTTGGAGAGAAGTGTTGGAATCTAAAGGTCTTCGCCTAAGTCGTCAAAGACAAAGGATATGGAGTGCAATTTCAGTGCGAATAGAGGTTCAAATGAGTTAGGGGTGAGGATTGGAGATTACGAAGTAGAGCGATCGCTTTCTCTACCTAGGATCTATGTTGCAAAAGAACAGATAGTTGGATGGAGACCTCAATCATAGAATACAAGCTAGATGGATGAAGTGGAAGAGTGCATTGTGTGTGTTATGCGACCGTCGTATGCCACTAAACTCAAAGGGAAAATTTTAATAGGACGGCAATAATGACAACAATGCTTTATGGCACGGAATGTTGGACGGTGAAGCATCAACACGTACAAAAAATGAGTGTAGCGGAGATGAGAATACTTCATTGGATGTGTGGGTACACGAGAAAGGATAGGATTAGGAATGAGGAAATCCGAGGTAAATTAGAAGTAGCCGAAATTGAAGGAAAGATGAGAGAAAATCGGTTAAAGTGGTTTGGACATGTGAAACGAAGGCCTGTAAACGCTCCAGTTAGAAGATGCGATTAAGAGACAAGAGGTTGAGGGCTGAAAGGGTAGAGGAAGACCTAGGAAGACTTGGAAAGAGACTCTAAGAAAAGACTTGGAGTACTTGGATCTAACGGAAGACGTGGCACATAACCAAATGCAATGGTGTTCTAGGATTCATACAGTCGACCCCACTTATTGGGATAAGGCTTTGTTGTTGTTGTTTGGAATGATCTTGACTATTTTTTGAATTATATGCTTGTTTTTGGCTTAGTTGTTTAAATGACAATGGATATTTCTTTTACAAAGTATTATATTTTATGTGTATATATTAAGTATTATAATAATTTTAGGCACCTTGAGACTGTCACCTCACGCCTTGGGACTATCACCTCACACCTTGAGCTTATCGCCTAGGCGAGGCTATCCATGAAACGTTTTGGCCTTGCCATTGCCTTTTAAAACATTGATCATCACAGATATAGTGCTTATATGGTTGCAAATCTGTTGCTTTTTGGGGGAGTGTTGATGATTTCATAATCATATTTGGAGAAAAGTGATATCACAAATCCTTGTGAATCCCAATTTATTTATTCATTTTGAACCTGAAATTTGTTTACTGTGTTCATCGTATGCGTTCTTTGTTGCTTACAGGGTACAGAGGAGGGATGGTCTGATGGGGGCTGCATTGCTTTTGCAGTTCTCCTTGTCATTGTTGTCACAGGTATTGAGTGAACAAGTGTATTCACTGATTCTAGTGTCGTTTTTGTTTCCAACATTTTAGTTAATTTGCTTGTAGGGGCTGTTGTGTTATATGTACTAGTCAATTTGCTTTAAATATTAAACATATATATATATATATATATTTTTTTTTTCTTTCTTTCCCCTCCATATTCAAATAAAATTCTGTGAATAAGCTCTGCAAGTTTTGTAATTGTTTCCCAAAAACTAAATTGAGTGAAGACTGTTCATGGTGGCCAGAATACATCAACTCCACGATTCTCTGTGTGTTTTTTGGTTGTTTTTTTTTTTGGTGGTGGTTGGGGGTGGTTGGGGGCTGTGTAGTATCATGGAATAACATTTTTACATTCCTTTTGAGCCATTGGATTACGTAACATTCAAGGGTCCTCATTTAATCAATTAATGACACGTATATCCGTGTGTGTTTGTGTTTATGTGTGTGTGTATATATCATTGTTGGAGGGGGTACTATTTATGTCACTCATCACCATATATGTGGTTTTTACAAATTGGATGATGTTTAATCATCTTTGCTCTTTTTTGGGGTGTTTAAGCATATGTCAGTCATGAGCGTATACAAGTTTATTACTTGAATTCTAAATAAATGCGAGTTTCTATTAATCTGAAGTGGTACACACTCACAAGCTTTTCCTATATTTTTTACCTGCAGCCGTTAGTGATTACAGACAATCTCTTCAGTTCCAGAATCTAACTGAGGAAAAGAGAAATATACATTTGGAGGTGCACTTCTGGTTCTCATCTCTGTCAGATTTATGGGAATTTTATTTCTTCTCATGCGACGATGTTTAGCTTTGGAGGTGTTGTGCAGGTCATTAGAGGTGGTAGACGTGTTAAGGTCTCAATTTATGATCTTGTTGTTGGTGATGTTGTACCCCTTAACATCGGCGATCAGGTATGCACGTATGTCAGAAAATGTTTCATATATATTTCACAATTACATTCCAATTGAAAATTTTGTTGATGTTGTGATTCTATATGTAGGTCCCTGCTGACGGCATTTTAATAATTGGACACTCACTTTTGATAGATGAGTCTAGTATGACTGGAGAGAGCAAGATTGTGAGCCTCAATACATGTTCCTATCCTTGTTTGAACATTTACTGTAAAACATAGGATGTATAGATTTTCCTTTTTTCAGGTACGCAAGAACTCCAAAAATCCATTTCTAATGTCGGGCTGCAAAGTAGCAGTTGGAAATGGTAGCATGCTGGTAAAGATTCCAATCTCTCTTTTCCTTTTCCCATGACACATAGATTTATAAGAGTTTTTCTAGAGTCAGACACTGACATATCTGAAATTTTTTCTTATTACTGAAACTTTGTTTTCCATAGGCTTGTTTTTATTTTCTGCCCATGTAATTTTGAAATATAACTTTCAATGTTTTAATATTATTATCATTGTTTCTTCAGGTAACCAGTGTTGGGACTAATACTGAATGGGGAATGCTCATGGCTAGTATTTCAGAAGATACTGGTGAAGAAACTCCTTTGCAGGTCAGCAATGAACTATTAACTTGAATATAGTCATTCGATACATGAAATCCTGTACTCAAGTCTCAAACATATACATCTCTGCACAGGTGCGCTTAAACGGGGTTGCAACTTCCATTGGTATTGTTGGACTCACAGTGGCTTTACCTGTCTTGATAGTCCTATTGTTTAGGTATATTTCGATCTTCACTAGTGACCCCTTCTCTAAGACAGTGACACTTGATTTATGACAGAGTACTCTTACGTGTGCAGTTACTTTAGTGGCCATACAAAAAATGCAAATGGAATCCCTCAGTTTCAAGTGGGAAAGACAAAATTTGGAGATGGCATAGATGGGGCCATTAAAATTGTTATTATTGCGGTATGTCAATAACTCCTTGGTTATTCAGTCTGCTGCATATGAGCGTTTCTGTGAATTTGATTAATCTGAAAACTGTTTTAGGTGACCATTGTCGTGGCTGGTGTTCCTGAAGGGCTCCCATTATCTGTTACCTTGACGTAAGTCTTTTATACCATGTGTTGAACTTGTGCCTCTGGGCTTCCCTCCAAGCCAAACGTAAAATAAAAATTGAAAACTCTTTTGTTTTATCTTCTCTTGTAAAAGCATACGTTGCACACAATCATCTTTCTACATTCCTCATTTCTTACTTCCCTCCCACTCCCCCTTTTACATTCTTTGGCTATGACACAGGCTTGCCTACTCGATGAGAAAATTGATGGCAGATAAGGCCTTGGTATGTCTTAATTGTTTTTCAGTTTTATGGCTTTGTAGAACTTTAATTTTATATACTTTTGTTGGGGTTTAAACATATGATGGAGCTCTAAATATAGGTGCGGAGGCTGTCTGCATGTGAAACCATGGGCTTTGCAACCGCTATATGCTGCGACAAGACTGGAACCTTAACATTGAACCAGGTGGGCATAACTTACCCCACGATGGAGTTCTAAATGCACAGTTTCTTCTCTGTTGTTCAATATATGACAACCGAGGTGTTGAGGTCTTATCGACCAGGCTAGTTAGATGAAACAGGCTAGTTTAGATGAAGTTATTTTGAGGGTTCAAATCAGCTGAAGTGATGTCTCACTAAAAGAAAATTTAGTCAATTGGAGTGGCTGTTGTGAGATTAAAAATGGTGGTGGATGTCAGCAGAACAAATGTTATGGACATTTTTTTGTAATTATGGATAGGTCAGGGGAAGACACTGGTGGTTTGTGTCTCTCTTGCTCTGTCAGTCTCTCTCTCTCTCTCTCTCTCTCTCTCTCTCTCTCTCTCTCTCTCTCTCTCTCACTCACTCTTTTGTTCTCTAGCTTAAGATTGCTAATGAGTGATATTCTTTTTTACATTCCTTTGGGTATAGATGACTGTTGTTGAGGCTTTTACTGGTGGGAGGAAAATCGATCTCTCTGGCAGTAAGTCAGACGTGTCTCCAATACTATCATCTTTGCTTATTGAAGGCATTTCATTGAATACAAATGGCAGTGTATATACGTCTGAGGTATGATTAAAGTATTTGTGTTGCTTTCTTGGTACATTATTTTAGCAGAATATTGAGTGGTAAAGGCTGAGGCTCAGGCTGTTTCTTCCCTTTTGTAGACTGGCGGTGATATAGAGGTTTCTGGATCACCAACTGAAAAGGCAATTCTGCAATTGGGAATCAAGGTTCTCTAGTTGGTTTTCCAATTCATGTATCTTGCCACTTCTCACGGGTGACTACATCCCTTAAACTCGCTATTAATTGTTGATAACTTATTTGCAGCTCGGAATGAATTTTGATGCCATCAGGTCCAAGTCTTCAATTCTTCACGTGTTCCCATTCAACTCAGAGAAAAAACGAGGTGGTGCTGCAGTTAAATTGGTAGGCAACTTAAGAATCTTACCTTGCCACACTAAGCATTCTTGGTTATATGGGATATATTATGCGGCTCTTTACTTTTGTTTAGTAGTTATACATTCATTAATTGTGTCTATTTGTTACCTTCGTGGATGCAAAAAGTATTTCAGGAATCTGGATGATTTAAAATCATATGTTCTCTTTTGTAAAATGTCTTCATATATCAGTTACAGTACACAGGGAAGAATATTAGTATTCTCATTGTGGATAACTTCTTTTGCATTCAAGGGATACTGCAAGTAATGGTTAATTGTCTTTTATCTATCTGTACAGCCCAATACCGAAGTTCATATTCACTGGAAAGGGGCTGCTGAAATAGTCTTGGCCTGTTGTACAAAGTACCTGGATCCTAATGACCAGTTAGCAGCTATGGATGAAGACAAGGTAGGAGAAAATTTTGGCTTTTACATGATAAAATGATAGTTAACTTCTGCAGTTTCACCTTTAGTGAAACACTCGTATAGTACAGTCTCTATTTTTTCTTCCTATTATTTTAGTCACTTCTTTCCAGGTTGAGATGATTTTAACGCCCCTATAAGTTTTTATGATCTTGCAAGACTGAATAACCTTTTTTATAAGCTTAAAGAACAAATTTGTGTTAGATGAAGTCAACCGTTGGTGGTAACCAACGCTTCTTGAAGAGTCGTGCTGTGCTTAGGAGTCTTATCTCCTTGTTTATAGGACTTCCTTTTGAATTATTCTTTTAACTGATACTGGTTGTAATCTTTGTAGATTTAGTTTGTATCTTTTGAATTTTGAACTTCCGTGTAAGTAGGGTCAATTCAAACCCTGATTGTAATCTGTAAGTGGTTATAAATACATGCATCCCACCCGTTCAAGGGGTATGCAACTGAAGTGAAATCTCTGTGTTCTTAAGTTTTACATGGTATTGAGCCTTACTGTCTAACGACAATGATCCTTGTTTGTTCTTAAGTTTTACAATTTGAAGTTGTGCAATTATCCAAAATTATCATTTATATGAATCTTGTTCCTAAACTCATTTTCTTACTATTTTGTGTTCCTTTTATGTTTTCTTTGAACTTTGGAAGGTTATAACTAATTCTTCATTTGAATGAAATATACCTTTTTCTGCAGTCAACCATGTTCAGGAAGTCAATTGAGGATATGGCTGCCCGCAGTTTGCGTTGTGTTGCCATTGCTTATAGACCACATGAATTGGAAAATGTTCCAGCTGATGAACAACTATCTGAGTGGGCATTGCCTGATGATGATCTTGTCTTGCTTGCAATTGTTGGTATAAAGGTAGTGCGTTCATAAATTCAGACATTGCATTACTAACTTCGATGAGGAGCATGTAACATTTAACATCCTCTGTTCTAAGCTGATATGTTGCTTCTTTTGCGGCACCTTCCATATTTGCATTCACTTGTAGTTTGTTTAGCTTATTTAGAGAATTAAAAAAATTGCAGGATCCTTGTCGGCCTGGGGTGGGAGATGCAGTGCGACTATGCCAAAAAGCTGGTGTTAAGGTATTATTTAGTAACATCAATGTGCGTGGTCTTCAGAATTTTTTGTTCTTCATAAAGAGGGGTGTTCAACTCCGCCGTGTAAGTTTATCTTACATTGCCGGTCCCAAGCCCGAATAAAGGAGGAGGGGGAGGGCGTCAGGTAGTCGACAGCCGGCACTCCATGATTACGTCGAATCCTTATGAAAATAAAGAGGGGTGTTCATTTTCGGATTAAGAGTATTAGGCAGGAGAGAACAGAAAGGGTTCAGTCCCCAACGTGTAGAAAGCCCAAAGATTCTATGCTAATAAGTTTGGCTGTCAACTTGTATCAATTTCTTGTTTATTCTGCAACAATGGTAGATCAACTTCCCTCTTTGTTTGTCATAGGGGTGTCCTATGCATATTAATTTAGGGTGGTGCTATCCACATACCCCTTTTTACCTTCCAAACACCCCTTGGTAATTTATGTCCTTTGATCCTCCTCAATTCATTTGATCGGACGGCCGGAATTGAGAGGGGTGTGTGGAAGGTAAAAGGGGGTGTGGATAATACCACCCTTAATTGATTATATTGTTTTGTAGATTTTTTTCCAGCCTCCACTTGCTCCCTCATTTCCTTGCTCTTAAATTTTTTATCATTATTTTGGGTTTTATACACTTGGTCTAAATGCAGTTGTTTTTGCACTGGTGGTAAGGTCATTATGTGTCAATATATGTCCTACTGTTTAAAATTTTGTTATCATAAATTATTTTCTGGGTATCGTTTTAAATATTGTTCGTAGAAAGTGAACACGTGGATGTTGTAGCTTAAGTTCTCCTTCCAATCTGAGAATTTTGTAGGTAATCATGGTCACAGGTGACAATCTTCAAACTGCGAAAGCGATTGCTATGGAATGTGGCATACTTGCTCCAGATTCAGATGCTACCCAGCCAACTCTCATTGAAGGAACAGCTTTCCGTGAACTTTCAGATAAGCAGAGAGAAGATTGTGCTGAAAAGATTTCGGTATGATCTGAGTAATTGAATATCTAATCATATTTACTTTCATATTGTTTCTGGTGACATGTTTTGATGATTGAAGTATGAACACCGGCTTTGTGGAAAATAGATTCTTTTTTGTGTAATGTGCAGGTGATGGGGCGGTCTTCCCACAATGACAAGCTTCTGCTTGTGCAAGCATTGAGGAGAAGGGGTCATGTTGTTGCTGTAACTGGAGATGGCACTAATGATGCTCCTGCACTGCGCGAGGTCTCTCAAAAGTTTTAACTTCAGTCTTTTTTTGTCTTTTTATTTTATTTTATTGTAACAGCTAATGTGTTTGAATCCCTGCACTGGTTTTGTAGTGTAGCGGGCCATTTATTGTCCCTTTTAGCTTTAGTGTTAAATGAGTTTATGTTTTGATGGGTTTTTTTTTTTTTTTTTTTTTTTTTTCTTGTGTGGAAATAATCAACATTCGAGTTCAGGCTGACATTGGTCTTGCAATGGGTATTCAAGGGACTGAAGTTGCCAAAGAGAATTCAGATATCATTATCTTGGACGATAATTTTGCTTCAGTTGTGAAGGTTAGTAACTGCGAACATTTTGCAATTTTTCTTAGTAATATCATTGTGTATTGTGTTGTCGCACTCTGTTCTACCGTACTGTTCATAACTCCTTTCTTTAATAGACATGTTGTGTAGTGCTTTAATTAATCAGTAACATACACACAAGCTCATTCTTCTATCTGGCCTGTAACAAAAGTTCAGGTGCTTCATTCAGCAATTCCATCCAACGGATGATATACTTTTAATTAATTTATTACTTTGTTCTCTCTCAGTTCTCACTTTTAATTTTTCTCGCATCTCCCTCACCCTTCACTGAGTAGGATAGCACTCAGTGTGCATATATGGTGTCCCAAATGTACAACTTACTTTTCCACATTAGGCTTTTATACTTCGAAGTTTGCTTTTCGTTTAGTCATACAATTACAGAAAAATAGCATCGAATGCATTGTCAAGAATATTGCTTCAATAAAACTGCTAGACGCAAATCGCAAACAACTGAGAACATCAGTGACCTTTTCATCCTCAATAGCGCAGCATCACTGAAACAAATTAATGCCTGGAAAAGATGTGAATTCGAAAAAGATTGAGATTATATCTGATTAGACCCATTGAAGCAACACAATTTTATAGTGGTTTGTAGATGATATTAGAAAATCTCTGGTTTTATGCTGAGGTAGAAAAGGCATGGAAAGTCATTGTGGAACTGGTTTGACCATTCTGAGAACCATCCAAGAAATCATTCCTCTAATCTTCCAATCTGCTCTCTTTGCTTTGGGAACCATTTACCTATGGGGAGGGTCTGTTTTGCATTTTGAAGTTGGTGGTCAGGCTGAGAGATGTCAATAGTTTTGTAGATGGCTGAGAGTTAATTCCTAGAGTGTGGATTTAAAAGAAAATATGCGAGAGGATAGAGTAGGGGGAAGCAAAATGTGGGAAAGAAGTGCATAGATAATTTTGATTGAACAAAAAGAAAAAAAAGCAGTTGTTTAGGGAGTGTCAGCTTGGTGATAAACTGACCAGGTTAACCATATGCTAACTGTGTTTACCCGTCATGTCTGAGTTGTTGAATGTACTGTTAAAGTCCGGATTGGAGAATGGCCGTATGTGTATCTAATATCTGTTTTGGTCTGTTTTTCCATTATTATTTCAAGTGCCGATTCAGAAACCAAATTTGCAATAATTAGCAGGTTTTTGTTCATCAAATGGTTGTAGGTTGTTAGATGGGGTCGATCTATATACGAAGGTATTCAGAAATTCACCCAATTCCATCTTACTACACTCAATGTTGCAGCAGTAACTATAAATGCCGTGGCAGCCATTTCATCTGGTGATGTACCGCTAAATGCTGTTCAGGTTCTCTGTCTACTCTCTTTATCTCTATCTCTATCTCTCTGTATATGCATATATTTCTCGCCCTCCATATGTACACCTGTTGATGCCTCTTTTTCTTGTGCTTGATGCAGGTTCTGTGGGTGAATCTTATCATGGATACTGTTGGAGTACTAGCATTGGCTACGGAGCCACCTACAGATCACTTGATGGACAGACCCCCTGTTGGTCAAAGGTAAGATTTATGTGATGATGGCTTCCTTTTACAGAACAAAAACATAAAAACCCATTAGATCACCATATACGCTATCTTAATCTATATGTTAGTCACCTAAAGTTTATGAAAATTTGGGAGCATTTTGTTTTAGTTGACAAAAAATTATCATCTCTTCCTTTATTTATTTTGTCATGCTGTTTAGGATAAAGTTCTTGTTTATGTTGTTCTCCGGATCTCTACTCAACGTGTTTCAGTTAGGTTTCTTTTTTATCAATATTTTGTGCCAAAATGTGTTTCAGTTAGGTTTCTTTTTTATCGATTACATCTAATTTTCCAAGTCCTTATCAACATCTGAAATTGTAAGGCATCCGTGGGATTGCGAGAGAAATTTCCAATTCTTTTTTACACTGTCTTGTGCACAGAATCCAAAAGTATTGTGTTAATGTTTTGAATGTTCATGCCTTTTTCTTGGCCCATATGTATTGGATATTTCATGTCATTAAGCAGACTATTTGCTTTTCGGATGGTTATAGTAATGAACTTATGGTACAATGTTTTACAGAGAGCCGCTCATAACAAATATAATGTGGAGGAACTTGTTGGTTCAGGTACATGCGTTTCGTGAGTTTTTTTTTTTTTTGTAAATTGAAGTATTGGTTCTCTATAACATGTATTGTCATGCCATACTCTGCTTTTGTCGTTTGTATTTTTGATATTATTGTCTGAACTTCAGGCTTTCTACCAAGTCACTGTCCTACTTGTCCTCAACTTCCGAGGAATAAGTATACTGAAGCTACATGGTCCCAATGCTAACACAGTGAAAAATACTCTGATATTCAATACATTTGTCCTATGTCAAGTAAGTCATAGCTCTTTCTTCTTCTTTTTTTCTTCTTTTTTTCCGGAAAAGTAGCTGGTTAATATTGAGTTGTCTACGTTTGTTGTTTTCTACGTTTGAGTAGTCTACGTTTTTTGTACTAAGTTGCTACTAAAGTTGATCTGTTGAAAATGATATGTAACTTGGTAGTTCACATCTAATGGAATATTGTTTGGATTTCTAGTGTTGTTTACCAGCTCATTGAGGATGAAGCTGCTAGAGTTTGTTCATTTCTACTTTTAAACATGATTTATCAAAAGGAGTCGTCTTTAATAAGTGTAACGTTCAACTTGCAACGTCTGTATTAAGTGTAATGTACAACTTGCAGATTTTCAATGAATTCATTGCTCAAAATCCTGATGAGTTCAATATATTCAAAGGGATCACCAAGAACTACCTTTTTATAGGAATAGTGACAGTAACTCTTGTACTTCAGGTGATACTTTAGTGCTTTTGTTTTTCTCATGTGATTTTGGTGAAAGTTTGCATTTGTTTACACTTCGCTTTTCCCTCTTTTTTTTGTCAGATTATCATCGTCGAGTTCCTTGGGAAATTCACTAAAACAAAACCACTTAATTGGAATCTTTGGCTGATTTCAGCTGTAATAGCTTTTATCAGGTGAGTTGGTGAAGATACCGTTAAAGTTCAATTGATGTTACAATGATATTTATTATTTGTCCCAAACGAAGCTATGATTATGGTGTGTTTTGTAGTATAAGTTAAACCCTCTGGAGTCTCTAGTTTTCTTTTGTTGGCTGACTCAACTTTCCTCTTCTGCAGTTGGCCTCTTGCTGTTCTTGGGAAACTGATTCCGGTTCCAGAAACCCCTCTCTTCAAGAATTTTACAAGAATGATCCCTGGGCGAAGAAACAGTCCAGAGGTAAGAGTTCTTGTATATTTTAGCTTCGGGATTAAGATGTATTACCAAATGAAATTATGATTTTTGAGGTTCTCTTTGTATATTTGTTTATGTATTTAACCGTGGGGAGTTGTGATGAGTTACTCTTGACTTCCCCACCTATGATTGATGCAAGTTATGTACGTATTTGTTCATGTTTCAATCTTCTTAATTTAATGGATTGGTTAACAGCAACAAATTGCCAAAGGAAATTACCATATTGGATATGATAATAAAACACAAAACGTCCATCTTTCAAGGGAATTTATACACTAGTATCCTAACATATGATTTTTCTTTATTTTTAAAATAGGCTGCATATCTTTTCAAGGAAGCTGCAGATCAACAAGTGAATGGTACTTTTTTTATTATTTTAATTTCCATTAATTCTTTGCAAACATTATCTGTGTGAAAAAAAAATGCAGCATTAATTTGATATTGCCACATGCTTCAATTATTTAGATCCAACAGTGGTATGATACTAGTAGAAGAGTATTTATTTCGAAAAATTATCTCACTGAATAAATTGCTGTAGTTCTCGAGCATGCCATTGTTCAGTTCTGGGCAAGTGTGTGTAGTCTTGCCTCACTCTTCTTGTAGAATACCTGGTAACAAGCAGATGTTTGATTTCCTATATTGTGCATATGTTCCTATTGTAAACATTCATTTTTCTTTCCCAAGACGCTATGGCAATTTGTTTGTCATGCTCTGTTCATTTCCGGTTCACTGTCATTTAAATTGTTGTTGGATTTGTAAGGTTGCTTTCTTGTTTCATTTTTTAAGGATTGTGTTTTAGACATTTCTCTCATTCGCTCCACCATCATGATGCATAAATCCTGTTGTGTAAACTGTTCTTTGCGATAGTTCTATAGTCAACTTGTTGCTTCTTATTGTCAGGGATTGTAGTACCGAAACCAAGTCCTACTGGCGATTTTCCCATTGGACAAGAGGAACTAGTTTCAGTGACGAGGGATCATAAATTTGCTGCTCTTCAACAATATGGGGGGGCAAGTCCACCACATAACCCCTTTCATGATCTGAAGTTGGTACATAAACACTGTTGCTTATATTTGTTCTGTTGTTTTCTTACATCAGGTCACAGGCTTAGGGGACTTGTTGAAAACAAATCTCGACAAGGGAATTCATGGAGATGATATTGATTTACTAAAACGGAAAAATGCATTTGGGTCGAACACATATCCTCGGAAAAAAGCAAGAAGTTTCTGGGTAAATTTGCTACAGTTGTGAACTTTTGAAGTTTCTGCATTGGATATAATAAGGAAAAAAGGAGGAAATTTTTTTCTGTTATAATAAATTTCTTTTTTCTTTTTCTGTCTGATAGAGATTTCTTTGGGTAGCTTGTCAAGATCTTACTCTGATCATATTGATGGTAGCTGCAATGGCTTCTTTAGCGCTGGGTATAAAAACAGAGGTGAGCTGGCATTGGCTGCTTAATAGCCGCGTCCTTCATCACAGTAGGATGTGTTCTGATAATGTCCTGTTTGTTTTGAAGTCTTGAGTTATTGTTGTAGCATGATTTGTCTTTTCTTAAAGACTACACCCTTGATTTGTCTTTTTTTTTTTTTTTTTTTTTTTTTTTTTTTTTTTTTGAGAAGAAACAATTTTATTAAAGAATAGAGAAAAACACAGAAGTGGATAAGAAGTCCACCAACAAATTAGAAAGGAAAATCCTAATAGGAATTGGCTACAGTAGCCAATTCTAGACCAAGCTCACTTAACTGCTGCTAACAAATCCCACAGTATTTGAGATAGAGAGCAATTATTAAACTCTTTAGTAACCGAAGCCCAAAAAGATGCCCAATATTTAACTCTCCCCCAAAGTACTTCTGCCCCCACTCCAGTATAGTCTTCAAAAATCCTTTTGTTGCGTTCCAGCCATATATTCCAGAAAATTGCCGATACCAGGCAACCCCACAAAGCTTTGGATTTTTTCCCTTTTCCAAGTGCCTTGAAATTGGTGCTTAGTAGCTCAAAACACCCTTTAGGAATGACCCAACTTACTTTAACCTCCTGAAACAGTTTCCACCACAGTTGTATCGAGTAGGAGCAATGAAGAAAGATGTGATTTACACTCTCCTCCTTAGCTTTACATAAACTACACCAATGTGGGGATAAACACATCATAGGGTTTCTCCTTTGAATTTTGTCGCAAGTGTTGAGACTCCCATTGGCCACAAGCCATACAAGTATTTTAACCTTCGGAGGAACTTTTGATTTCCAAATCTGAGAGTAGGGTGGATAATAGTGCACAATCCCATTGTTGTTCAGTAATGACCGATAGGATTTGCATGTGAACAAACCTGAAGTTTCTAGGTTCCACCTTCTGTTATCCATTTTTGATGGAGACAAGCGAACCACTTCCACTTTCTGTAATAAGCTGGCCGCCTCTTCTATCTTCATCTCATTCAGATTTCTCCTAAAATCAAAGTTCCAACTCAAGGAACTTGACGAAGCTTCCACAAAGCTAGATATGTTATGATTATGCTTCCTCGATAATAAGAATAATCTGGGGAATTGCTCCTTCAGCGGTCCCCCTACTAACCACCCATCCTCCCAAAACCTAACCCTCTCTCCATTGCCCACCTCAAACTTGCAACAACTAAGAAACTGATGAGCACCACTCGAAATGTCTTTCCATGGGCTACGACTTGAAACCCTCCTTGGAGGAAGTACATTCCATCCATTAACTTGTAGCCCATACTTGCTTCTTATCACCTTGTGCCATAAGGAATGAGACTCCCTTGGGAATCTCCACAACCACTTAGCCAATAGTGCTTCGTTCTGATTCCTCAAATTCCCCACCCCTAGACCTCCTTCCTCCTTGTTTTTAGTAACTAACTCCCATTTGACCAAATGGGTTTTCTTACCTTCCTCCACGCCTTCCCAGAGAAACCCTTTCATTAATTTTTCTAGATGTCTTCTTACCCCACAGGGAATTTTGAACAATGACATATAGTAAATCGGCAAACTTCCCAAGACTGATTGAATTAGAGTCAATCTACCTCCTCTGGATAGGAAAGCCTTCTTCCAACTTTGAAGTCTTCTTTCCATTGTTTCTACCACTGGATCCCAAAACCTTATAGCTTTTGGCCTTCCCCCAAGGTGAAGTCCCAGATACTTTATAGGCCAACATCCTACCTCGCAACCCCAAGAATCTGCCATCCTGTTTAATTTCTCACTTTCTGAATTTATTCCTGCCAAAAAGCACTTCGCTTTGTTGATTTTCAGTCCTGAGACCGAACAGAATAAGTTGAGCACTTGTAATAGGTTGTTCCAAACTTCCTCATCTTCCGTCAAAAAGAATATGGTATCGTCTGCAAATTGAAGATGAGAGATCTCCACCTTTTCTTGCCCGATACACAAACCTTTGATGAGATCATTTTCTTGAGCCTTCTCCATTAACCTGCTCAAAACATCGACTACTAAGGTGAAGAGAAAGGGTGATAGTGGGTCACCTTGTCTTAGTCCTCTTGAAGCTTGAAATTTTCCCCTAGGCCTCCCATTGATCAAAACAGAAAAATTTGCAGAGCATAAAGATCCTTGAATCCATTTCCTCCATCTATTGCCAAAACCTTTTCTTTGTAGTACTTCTTCCAGAAATCTCCATTCAACATGATCATACGCTTTTTCAAAGTCAATCTTGAGCACCAATCCCTTCTTTTTTTTCTGCCTTATCTCTTCTACCACTTCATTTGCAATGAGGACTGCATCCAAAATTTGTCGATCCTTAACAAACGCCCCCTGATGTGGGGAGACAGTGGTAACCAAAACCTCCTTCAATCTTGAAGCCAGTGTTTTCGCTATGATTTTATACAATCCAGTTACTAAGCTGATGGGCCTATAGTCCGTCACCTTCAAAGAATCTGACTTCTTTGGGATTAGGCAAATGAATGTTTCGTTCGTCACTGCATTTATTATCCCTTTCTCAAAGAATTCCTCCATGATCTTCATTATATCTCTTCCTTCAAAATATCCCAGCAATGTTGGAACATTTGCATAGAGAGAGCCATCTGGTCCTGGTGACTTGTCCTTTCCACAATCGAAAACTGCTCTTTGAACTTCTGCTTCCTCAAAAGGCCTCTCAAGCCAAATTGCCTCAAGGGCGCTTATTGGGGCCCAATTTATACCTTCTAAACCACAACATGCCTCGTCGTTACTGCTAAATAAGGATTTGAAAAAATTTACAATATGCTCTTCAATCTCCTTTGCATCCTCTATTAATCCCCTCCAATCGGCTCCAACCTTTCAATATAGTTTCTCTTCCTTCTTCCATTAGCAACTCGATGGAAGAATCTTGTATTACCGTCCCCCTTCCTTTGCCCATTCCACTTTGCTTCTCTGCCTCCATTTCACTTCTTCTTTAAAAGCCAAGTCTCCCACCAGGTTTTGGAGTTCTTCCCTTTTACTTCTAGCTTCAAAATCTAAGCCTTCCGTCCCCTCTCTCTTATCCAACTCCTCTATGTTTGCTTCCGCTTCTTTCAAGACTTTTTCGATTTCGCCGAAACTCTCCTTACTCCAGCTTTGCACCTTTTTTTTCATGGCTTTTAACTTGATCATAAATTTATAACCCTCCCACCCCTCCACTTGCTCCGATTGCCACCATTCCTTGAATTTGTTCCTGAATTCTGGATCTTGGAGCCACATGTTTTCAAATCTGAAAGGACATGGCCCCCATTTCACTTTGTTGGTGTCTAGCTGGATTGGACAATGATCGGAAATGACCCTTGCCAAGGCCGTTTGTCTAGCCTCAGGAAAGATATCTTCGCAACCTGTAGAGCATAAAAATCTGTCTAATCTTCGACACACAGGTTCTTCTCTGAGAAATACTGCACCCTAGTTGATTGCATATATTGCGAAGGCCATGGTGTTCCAAATTTAGAGAAATGACCTCTATCATTAATCAATGTTTTAAAAAACTAGTTTGAGACCAGCCTAGGCAGTTTTTTGGGCGGTGCTATCAAGAAAATGCCTCTGCCCAGCGGGAGTGGGCTATATTCCGTCTTGGCGTCGGGGAGGCGAGATGTGGGCGTTCGATTTTTTATTTCTAACCTTTGTTTTTTACAAAAGCTAAACCCAAAATGATGTCGTTTTGGGCAGGGTTTTTTACAACTGAAATAGTGTCTCTCTCACTTTGCGTTTGCGTAAAAGAACACAGAGCAAGAGCAGCAGGTCAGCGACAGCCTGCAAATGTCTCGCAGCCATGTGTGGGATTCCACGGCTAGTTGCACCCGAAAAGTAGCAAAAGAGGTATTAGGAGAGTCCAAGGGTTTTGCTCCACACCAAAAGGAATCTTGGTGGTGGAAGGAAGAGGTACAGACAAAAGTGAATGTTAAGAAGGAATGTTGTAAAGGCTAATACAAGGATAGAACCGACGAAAACTGTGAAAGTTATAGAATAGTGAAGGAAGCGAAGAAAGCTGTGAGAGAAGCAAAGCTAGCGGCTTTTGACAATATAAGTGACTGGATACCAAAGAAGGAGAGTTGTATATCTATAAACTAGCTAGAGTAAGGGAAAAGAAGACAAGAGACCCGAAACAAGTGAGGTGCATCAAGGATGAGAATGGAAAGGTTCTTGTTTAATGAAGGATATGAAAGAAGTACTTCTTTGGGGGAATTGAGTAACTCAGAAGAGTGTAGAAACTACTCCTTCTACCGCTGTATTGGGAAGGAAGAAGTGGTTGTAGTTTTGAAAAAGATGAAGCATAGAAAAACAGTGGGCCCATATGATATACTGATCGAAGTGTGGAAAGTCTTGGGAAAGACGGGTATATCATGGCTCACAAACCATTTCAATAAGATTTTGAAAACGAAGAAGATGCCAAATGAGTGCCGAAAGAGCACTTTGGTGCCTATCTTCAAGAATAAGGGCGACGTACAAAATTGCATGTATTAAGTTAATAAGGCATACCATGAAGCTCTGAGAGAGTAATTAAGCATAGACCGAGGCATGAGAGACAGGTCTCGGACAATGAATTTGGGTTCATGCCAAGACGCTCAACCATGGAGGCAATCTATCTCTTATGAAGATCGATGGAAAGATATAGAGATATTAAAAAGGATTTGCACATGGTCTTTGTAGATTTGGAAAATGCGTATGATAGGGTACAAGAGACATTCTTTGGAGGATTTTAGAGAAGAAAGGAGTACGAGTAGTATATATTCAAGCTATAAAGGAAATGTATTATGGAGTAAGGACTGCCGTAAGAACTTATGAAGTACAAACCGGAAGCTTTCCCATAACTATAGGGTTACATCAAGGCTCATCTTTAAGTCCTTACCTTTTTGCATTGGTAATGGATGAGTTAACATAACATATTCAAGATGATATTTCTTGGTGTATGCTTTTCGTAAATGATATAGTGTTGATAGATGAAACTCAGGAAAGAGTAAATGCGAAGCTCAACCTTTGGAGAAAAGTGTTGGAATCTAAAGATCTTCGCCTAAGTCGGTCAACGACATAGTATATGGAGTGCAAGTTCAGTGCGAACGAAGGTTCAAATGAGTTAGGGGTGAGGATTGGTGATCAGGAAGTACCAAAGAGCGATCGTTTTCGCTACCTAATATCTATGTTGCAAAAGAATCGAGAGTTGGATGGAGACCTCAACCATAGAATACAAGCTGGATGGATGAAGCGGAAGAGTGCATCGGGTGTGTTCTGCGACCGTCGTATGCCACTAAAGCTCAAGGAAAATTTTTATAGGACGGCAATAAGGCCAGCAATGCTTTATGGCATGGAATGTTGGACGGTGAAGCATCAACAGGTACACAAAATGAGTGTAGCGGGGATGAGAATGCTTCATTGGATGTGAGGGCACATGAGAAAGGATAGGATTAGGAATGAGGATATCCGAGGTAAAATAGGAGTAGCCGAAATTGAAGGAAAGATGAGAAAATCGGTTAAAGTGGTTTGGACATGTGAAACGAAGGCCTACAGACGCTCTGGTTTGAAGATGCGATTAAGAGATAGAGGTTCATGGTCGAAAGGGTAGAGGAAGCCCTAGGAAGACTTGGAAAGAGACTTTAAGAAAAGAATTGGAGTACTTGGGTCTAACGGAAGATGTGGCACAGAACCTAGCGCAATGGCGTTCTAGGATTCATACAGCCAACCTCACTTAGTGGGATAAGGCTTTGTTGTAGTTGTTTGTGATGATCTTGACTATTATTTGATTTATATGCTTGTTTTTGGCTTAGTTGTTTAAATTACAATGGATATTTCTTTTACAAAGTATTATATTTTATGTATATATATGAAGTATTATAATAATTTTAGGTACTGTGAGACTTTCGCCTCACGCCTTGAGATTATCGCCAGGTGAGGCTATCCAAGAAATACCTTGGCCTTGCCCTCGCCTTTTAAAACATTGATTGTCACAGATATAGTGCTTATATGGTTGCAAATCTGTCACTTTTTGTGGGAGTGTTGATGAATTCATAATCATATTTGGAGAAAAGTGATATCACAAATCCTTGTGAATCCCATAAGGAAAACTAATGAAAAGGGCTTGAAAACTTTGAGTTTTAATGATAAGGACAAAATAAAGGGTAAAGTGAATAGTACCAGGATTGACTTTTTAGTGTAAAAATGTGGTTTTTCGTTAAAATGAACAGTACCAGGTGCTTTTCGTTAAAGTTCCCTTTTATTTATTCATCTTAAACCCTAAATTTCTTTACGGTGTTCATCTTATGCGTTCTTTGTTGCTTACAGGGTATAGAGGAGGGATGGTATGATGGAGGCAGCATTGCTTTTGCACTTCTCCTTGTCATTGTTGTCACAGGTATTGATCGAGCAAGTGTATTCACTGATGGCTAAAATGTATATATTTTAGTGTCATTTTTGTTTCCAACATTTTAGTTAATTTGCTTGTAGGGGCTGTTGTGTTGCATGCAATGTTTTAAAAGGCTCGCCTCGGGGTGCGCCTAGGCTTCCTCTGGGGCTGGGCACGAGGGTTGCTGCCTCTGTTTTGAGGGAGTGGGCGGAAGGCGTCGCCGGAGCAGCCTTGGCGCGCCTCAATGTTTTTTATTTTTTATTTTTATTTTTTTACTCCCAAACCCAAATTTTGGGTAGGGTTTTAATTGCCTCATACCTCTTCCTTGCACTATCGTCTCTCTGCCTTTATTTTTTTATTTTTTTTTATTTTTGTATATAATGGATGTGTATGCTGTCTGCGTGCATTGTTATATGTGTCCTCATTGTGCTTTTCATCCTCTATTATATATATATAATATAATATATGTATATATATATGTGTGTATATATTTATAATATATGTGTGTGCTCAGGATGATTATTGATTAATAATGTTTTTTAATATAATATGTGTACGCTCAGTGTATATATTAAAAAATTTAAATCCTTGGAGGCTTCGCCTCACGCCTAGGCCGGGCTATCTCTTTGACGCCTCGCCCACACCTCACGCTTTTAATACATTGGTTGCATGTACTAGTCAACTTGCTTCAAATATTAAACATGTATATATATATATATATATATATATTATAGAGTTTTAACAGTTTTCTTTCTTTCCCTCTCCATATTCAAATAAAATTCTGTGAATACGCTCTGCAAGTTTTGTAATTATTACCCAAAAACTAAATTGAGTGAAGACTGTTCATGGTGGCCAGAATACATCAATTCCCCGATTCTCTCTCTGTGTTTTTTTTGAGGGGGGGTGGTGTGGAATAGGATTACATTCCTTTTGAGCCATTAGATTACCATAACATCCAAGGGTCCTCATTTAATCATTTAATGACACGTATATGTGTGTGTTTGTGTTTGTCTGTGTGTGTATCATTATTGGAGGGGGTACTATTTATGTCACTCATCACCATATATGTGATTTACAAATTGGATGATGTTTAATCATCTTTGCTCTTTTTTGGGGTGTTTAAGCATATGTCAATCATGAGCGTTTACAAGTTTATTACTTGAATTCTAAATACATGCGAGTTTCTATTAATCTGAAGTGGTACACACTCACAAGTTTTCCTATATTTTTTACCTGCAGCGGTTAGTGATTACAGACAATCTCTTAAGTTCCAGAATCTAAATGAGGAAAAGAGAAATATACATTTGGAGGTGCGCTTCTGGTTCTCATCTCTGTCAGATTTATGGGAATTTTATTTCTTCTCATGCGCCGATATTAGCTTTGGAGGTATTGTGCAGGTCATTAGAGGTGGTAGACGTGTTGAGGTCTCAATTTATGATCTTGTTGTTGGTGATGTTGCACCCCTTAACATCGGCGATCAGGTATGCACATTTTTCAGAAAATGTTTCATATATATTTCACAATTACATTCCAATTGAAAATTTTATTGATATTGTGATTCTATATGTAGGTCCCTGCTGATGGCATTTTAATAACTGGACACTCACTTGCCATAGATGAGTCTAGTATGACTGGAGAGAGCAAGATTGTGAGCCTCAATACATGTTCCCATCCTTGTTTGAACATTGACCATTTATTTTCTGTAAAACATATGATGTATATATTTTCCTTTTTTCAGGTACGCAAGGACTCCAAAAATCCATTTCTAATGTCAGGCTGCAAAGTAGCAGATGGAAATGGTAGCATGCTGGTAAAGATTCCAATCTCTCTTTTCCTTTTCCCATGACACATAGATATATAAGAGTTTTTTTCTAGAGTCAGTCAATGACATATCTGAAATTCTTTCTGATTACTGAAACTTTGTTTTCCGTAGGCTTGTTTTTATTTGCTGCCCATGTAATTTTGAAATGTAACTTTCAATTTTTTAATATTATTATCATTTTTTCTTCAGGTAACCAGTGTTGGGACTAATACTGAATGGGGAATGCTCATGGCTAGTATTTCAGAAGATACTGGTGAGGAAACTCCTTTGCAGGTCAGCAATGAACTATTAACTTGAATATAGTCATTCGATGCATGAAATCCTGTACTCAAACATATTACATCTCTGAACAGGTGCGCTTAAACGGGGTTGCAACTTTCATTGGTATTGTTGGACTCACAGTGGCTTTACTTGTCTTGATAGTCCTGTTGGTTAGGTATATTTCGATCTTCACCAGTGACCCCTTCTCTATGACAGTGACACTTGATTTATGATAAGTACTGTTACGTGTGCAGATACTTTACTGGCCATACAAAAAATGCAAATGGAAGCCCTCAGTTTAAAGCGGGAAAGACAAAATTTGGAGATGCCATAGATGGAGCCATTAAAATTGTTACTATTGCGGTGTGTCAATTAACTCCTTGGATATTCACTCTGCTTCATGCGAGCGTTTGTGTGAATTTGACTAATCTGAAAACTGTTTTAGGTCACCATTGTGGTGGTTGCTGTTCCTGAAGGGCTCCCATTAGCTGTTACCTTGACGTAAGTCTTTTATATCATGTGTTGTGTCCCTGGGCATTAGGGATGGCAACGGTTTGGTTTGGGGACAAAAATGATATATCCATCACCATAGCCACAAAAGTTAACCATATCCATAACTGCAAATTAACCATCGGGATTATCCATAACCATATCCACTGGGTAACGGTTTTTCAATCGGTTATCGGTTATATCCATCTTCGTCAAAAAAATAAAAAAAAATTATATTCATCAAATTGACACTATAAATTTTAGTAGATACTAATTCCGTCATTAAATAACGACATCCAATTACAAAAAACATACCAATATATTTGAAGTTGTTCATGATAAGCCAACATGATAAATTGGTCCAATAAAAAAGAAAAATAGGACAAAAGCAAATACGAAAGGAAGACAAAACAAATTGTCTAATAATTCCAAAACTTGTGACGACAAATGAACGAAATATTTGCACTTAGCTTCTAGTTCCACCAAGCTAGCATCATATTTCATGGTGCTCCTCCTTCACACCCATCAATGGAGCATGATGACGAAATAATTAATATGAATCGTTGTACACATAATCTACAAAGAAGATAGTTATATACATATAATGTAATTGCTAATACTTACCTTATCCATATCCATATCTTCAAAATAAGTGCAGCAACCGACGTGTGCATTAGAACAAGAAGCTAGTTGAGACTCTTGAAGAGAGATGAATTTGATAAACTTGGAACATTTGATAATTGATATATAAAATGATTCAATGAATTAATTTGGTTGAGTATAACAATAAGAGTATTGAATTGATGAGGTTGTTGGTATGCTTCATGCATGATGGTTGGTGCATAATAAAGATAGTATAGGGTTTGATGCATGCATAATGAATTAGTATAGGGAGGGTTTGGTAAATTGAATAAAATTATATTGTATATCAAATATATATATATATATATATAATATTGGGGTCGGATTCGGGGACAGATATGGATTGGGAACCCCTATAACCATATCCAAAACCATAACCGAATAAAGTCACGGTTTTTCCCCATATCCATACCATACCCGAATTTTCATATCCAAATCCAATCCATTCGGGTGGTTATCCACGGTTATCGGGTTTAACAGTTAGAATTGCCATCCCCATCCCTCCAAGCCAAACGTAAAATAAAAATTGAACGCTCTTATGTTTTATCTTCTCTTTTAAAAACATACGTTTCTATTGCACACAAGCATCTTTCTACATTCCTCGTTTCATACTTTCCCCCCTTTCATTCTTTGGCTATGACACAGGCTTGCCTACTCGATGAGAAAAATGATGGCAGATAAGGCCTTGGTATGTCTTAATTGTTTTTCAGTTTTATGGCTTTGTAGAACTTTAATTTTATATACTTTTGTTGGGGTTTAAGCGTATGATGGAGCTCTAAATGTAGGTGCGGAGGCTGTCTGCATGTGAAACCATGGGCTCTGCAACTACCATATGCAGCGACAAGACTGGAACCTTAACATTGAACCAGGTGGGTATAACTTACCCCACGATGGAGTTCTAAACGCATAGTTTCTTCTGTTGTTCAATGTATGACGACAGAGGTGTTGAGGTCTTATTGACCAGGCTAGTTTTGATGATGTTATTTTGATGGTTCTAATAAGCTAAAGTGATGTCTCACTAAAAGAAAATCTAGTCAATTTGGTGTGGCTGTTGTGAGATTAAAAATGGTGGTGGATGTGAGCAGAACAAATGTTGTGGACAGTTTTTTAGTAATTGTGCATAGGACAGGGGAAGACACTGGTGGTTTGTGTCTCTCTTGCTCCGTCACTCTCTCTGTCTCTCTCTCGCTCTCACACACTTTTTTTTGTTCTCTAGTTTAAGATTGCTAATGAGTGATATTCTATTTTACATTCCTTTGAGTATAGATGACTGTTGTTGAGGCTTTTACTGGTGGGAGGAAAATCGATCTCTCTGGCAGTAAGTCAGACGTGTCTCCAATACTATCATCTTTTGCTTATTGAAGGCATTGCGTTGAATACAAATGGCAGTGTCTATACGCCTGAGGTATGCTTAATGTATTTGTGTTGCTTTCTTGGTACATTATTTTAGCAGAATATTGAGTGGTAAAGGCTGAGGCTCAGACTGTTTCTTCCCTTTTGTAGACTGGCGGTGATATAGAGGTTTCTGGATCACCAACTGAAAAGGCAATTCTGCAATTGGGAATCAAGGTTCTCTAGTTGGTTTTCCAATTCATGTATCTTGCCACTTCTCACGGGTGACTACATCCCTTAAACTCGCCACTAATTGTTGATAACTTCTTTGCAGCTCGGAATGAATTTTGATGCCATCAGGTCCAAGTCTTCAATTCTTCACGTGTTCCCATTCAACTCAGAGAAAAAAACGAGGCGGTGCTGCAGTTAAATTGGTAGGCAACTTAAGAATCTTACCTTGCCACACTAAGCTTTCTTGGTTATATGGGATATATTATGCGGCACTTTACTTTTGTTTAGTAGTTATACATTCATTATTGTGTCTATTTGTTACCTTCCTGGATACAAAAAGTATTTCAGGAATCTGGATGATTTAATATTATATGTTCTCTTTTGTAAAATGTCTTCATATCTCAGTTACAGTACACAGGGAAGAATATTAGTATTCTCATTGTGGATAACCTCTTTTGCATTCAAGGGATACTGCAAGTAATGGTTAATTGTCTTTTATCTATCTGTACAGCCCAATACCGAAGTTCATATTCAATGGAAAGGGGCTGCTGAAATAGTCTTGGCCTGTTGTACAAAGTACCTGGATCCTAATGACCAGTTAGTAGCTATGGATGAAGACAAGGTAGGAGAAAATTTTGGCTTTTACATGATAAAATGATAGTTAACTTCTGCAGTTTCACCTTTAGTGAAACACTCGTATAATACAGTCTCTATTTTTTCTTCCTATTATTTTAGTCACTTCTTTCCAGGTTGAGATGATTTTAACGCCCCTGTAAGTTTTTATGATCTTGCAAGACATAATAACCTTTTTTATAAGCTTAAAGAACAAATTTGAAGTTGTACAATTATCCAGAATTATCATTTATATGAATCTTGTTCCTAAACTCATTTTATTACTATTTTGTGTTCCCTTTATGTTTTCTTTGAACTTTGGAAGGTTACAACTAATGCTTCATTCGAATGAAATATACCTTTTTCTGCAGTCAACCATGTTCAGGAAGTCAATTGAGGATATGGCTGCTCGCAGTTTGCGTTGTGTTGCCATTGCTTATAGACCACATGAATTGGAAAATGTTCCAGCTGATGAACAACTATCTGAGTGGGCATTGCCTGATGATGACCTTGTCTTGCTTGCTATTGTTGGTATAAAGGTAGTGCGTTCATAAATTCAGACATTGCATTACTAACTTCAATGAGGAGCATGTAACATTTAACATCCTCTGTTCTAAGCTGATATGTTGCTTCTTTTGCGGCACCTTCCATATTTGCATTCACTTGTAGTTTGTTTAGCTTATTTAGAGAATTAAAAAAATTGCAGGATCCTTGTCGGCCTGGGGTGGGAGATGCAGTGCGACTATGCCAAAAAGCTGGTGTTAAGGTATTATTTAGTAACATCAATGTGCGTGGATTTCTGAATTTTTGTTCTTCATTATTTTTGGATCAAGAGTATTAGGCCGGAGAGAACAGAAAGGGTTCAGTCCCCAACTTGTAGAAAGCCCAAAGATTCTATGCTAATAAGTTTGGCTGTCAACTTGTATCAATTTCTTGTTTATTCTGCAACAATGGTAGATCAACTTCTCTCTTTGTTTGTCATAGGGGTGTCCTATGCATATTAATTCAGGGTGGTGCAATCCACACACCCCTTTTTACCTTCCAAACACCCCCTGGTAATTTATGTCCTTTGATCCTCCTCAATTCATTTGATCTGATGGCTGGAATTGAGAGGGGCGTCTGGAAGGTAAAAAAGGGGTGTGGGTAGTACCACCCTGAATTTATTGTATTGTTTTTGTAGATTTTTTTCCAGCCTCCACTTGCTCCCCCTCATTTCCTTGCTCTTAAAATTTTTATTTTTATTTTGAGTTTTATACACTTGGTCTAAATGCAGTTGTTTTTGCACTGGTGGTAAGGTCATTATGTGGCAATATATATGTCCTATTGTGATTATTTTTAGTTAGGTTTAGATATATGTCTATCTGTATTTTAGTTGTACAGTAACTGTAAATCAGAAGAATCAATTTAGTTTATATAGAAATTTACTACTGTTTAAAATTTTGTTTTCATAAATTATTTTCTGGGTATCCTTTTAATTATTGTTCTTAGAAAGTGAACATGTGGATGTTGTAGCTTAAGTTCTTCCAATCTGATAATTTTTGTAGGTACGCATGGTCACAGGTGACAATCTTCAAACTGCGAAAGCGATTGCTATGGAATGTGGCATACTTGCTCCAGATTCAGATGCTAACCAGCCAACTCTCATTGAAGGAACAGCTTTCCGTGAACTTTCAGATAAGCAGAGAGAAGATTGTGCTGAAAAGATTTCGGTATGATCTGAGTAATTGAATATCTAATCGTATTTACTTTCATATTGTTTCTGGTGACATGTTTTGATGATTGAAGTATGAACACCAGCTTTGTGGAAAATAGATTCTTTTTTGTGTAATGTGCAGGTGATGGGGCGGTCTTCCCCCAATGACAAGCTTCTGCTTGTGCAAGCATTGAGGAGAAGGGGTCATGTTGTTGCTGTAACTGGAGATGGCACTAATGATGCTCCTGCACTGCACGAGGTCTCTCAAATGTTTTAACTTCAGTCTTTTTGTCTTTTTATTTTATTTTATTGTAGCAGTTAATGTGTTTGAATCCCTGCACTGGTTTTGTCAAGGTTCTAAAAAACGCTAGGCGCTAGTCGAGCGGTAGGCAGGGCCTAGGCGGGCACCTAGGTGGACAAGCGGATTTAAGTAAATTTATTATATTTCATGTGATAAGTGTCTGCTTATACATAAAAATATATATACTTTCATCATAAACTAAAAAATAGAATGACATACATATTAAGAAGTATTGGAACATAATGAAAACATGGGGAACAAAGATACAATGCGTGTATATATAAGTATGTAACAAGTCTTACAATTTATTGAAAAAAATAAAATGCAAAATGAAAGTTATCTATTTTCTGTCTAAGTGAGTTGCAATCTAGGCGGGCGCTTAAGCAAGGGCTAGGCAGGTGCCTCTGCAAGTCTAGGCACTGTTTCTTAATTTTCAAACGCCTAGGCATTAATTGAATGGTGGCCAGCCGCCTACAGCCTAGGCGGTGCTATGCGGGGATTTTTAGAACAGTGGGTTTTGTAGTGTAGCGGGCCATTTATTGTCCCTTTTAGCTTTAGTGTTAAATGAGTTTATGTTTTGATCGTTTTTTTTTTTTTTTCTTTGGAAATAATCAACATTCGATTCAACATTCGAGTTCAGGCTGACATCGGTCTTGCAATGGGTATTCAAGGGACTGAAGTTGCCAAAGAGAGTTCAGATATCATTATCTTGGACGATAATTTTGCTTCAGTTGTGAAGGTTAGTAACTGTGAACATTTTGCAATTTTTCTTAGTAATATCATTGTGTATTGTGTTGTCGCACTCTGTTCTACCTTTCTGTTCATAACTCCTTTCTTTAATAGACATGTTGTCTAGTGCTTTAATTAATCAGTAACATACACACAAGCTCATTCTTCTATCTGGACTGTAACAAAAGTTCAGGTGCTTCATTCAGCAATTCCATCCAACAAATGATACATACTTTTAATTAATTTATTACTTTGTTCTCTCTCAGTTCTCACTTTTAATTTTTCTCACATCTCCCTCACCCTTCAGTGAATAGGATATCACTCAGTGTGCATATATGGTGTCCCAAATGTACAACTTACTTTTCCACATTAGGCTTTTATACTTCGAAGTTTGCTTTTCGTTTAGTCATACAATTACAGAAAAATAGCATCGAATGCATTGTCAAGAATATTGCTTCAATAAAACTGCTAGACGAAAATGGCAAACAACTGAGAACATCAGTGACCTTTTTATCCTCAATAGCACAGCATCACTGAAACAAATTAATGCCTGGAAAAGATGGGAATTCAAAAAGATTGAGATTATATCTGATTAGACCCATCGTAGCAACACAATTTTATAGTGGTTTGTAGATGATATTACAAAATCTTTGGTTTTCTGCTGAGGTAGAAATGGAAAGTCGTCGTGAAATTGGTTTGACCATTCAGAGAACCATCCAAGAAATCATTCCTCTAATCTTCCAATCTTTGCTTTGGGAACCATTTACCCATGGGGAGGGTTTGTTTTGCATTTTGAAATTGGTGGTCAGGCTGAGAGATGTCAATAGTTTTGGAGATGGCTGAGAGTTAATTCCTAGAGTGTGGATTTAAAAGAAAATATGTTGAGAGGATAGAGTAGGGGGAAGCAAAATGTGGGAAAGAAGTGCATACAAAGTTTTGATTAAACAAAAAGAAAAAGGGCAGTTGTTTAGGGAGTGTCAGCATGGTGATAAACTGACCAGATTAACCATATGCCATTAACTGTGTTTACATGTCACGTCTGAGTTGTTGAATGTACTGTTAAAGTCCGGATTGGAGAAAGGCCGTATGTGTATCTAATATCTATTTTTGGTCTGTTTTTTCATTATTATTTCAAGTGCCAATTCAGAAACCAAATTTGCAATATTTAGCAGTGTTTTTGTTCATCTAATGGTTGTAGGTTGTTAGATGGGGTCGATCTGTATATGCAAATATTCAGAAATTCATCCAATTCCAGCTTACAGTAAATGTAGCAGCACTAATTATAAATGTCGTCGCAGCCATTTCATCTGGTGATGTACCGCTAAATGCTGTTCAGGTTCTCTCTCTCTCTACTCTCTTTATCTCTCTCTCTATCTCTGTGTATATGCATATATCTCTCGTCCTCCATGTGTACACCTGTTGATGCCTCTTTTTCTTGTGCTTGATGCAGCTTCTGTGGGTGAATCTTATCATGGATACTCTTGGAGCACTAGCATTAGCTACGGAGCCACCTACAGATCACTTGATGGACAGACCCCCTGTTGGTCGAAGGTAAGATTTATGTGATGACGGCTTCCTTTTACAGAACAAAAACATAAAATCCCATTAGATCACGAAATACGCTATCTTAATCTATATGTTAGTCACCTAAAGTTTGTGAAAATTTGGGAGCATTTTGTTTTAGTTGACAAAAAATTATCATCTCTTCCTTTATTTATTTATTTTGTCATGCTGTTTAGGATAAAGTTCTTGTTTATGTTGTGCTCCGGATCTCTACCCTCAAAAGGGATGCAAGGGAACAAGACTCCATATTTTCTATGACAAACTTAGTTACAGTATTTTGTGCCAAATTGTGTTTCAGTTAGGTTTCTTTTTTATTGATTACATCTAGTTTTCCAGGTCCTTATCAACATTTGACAATGCATATCATAGCCATATTATTTAAATAACTATAACAAGAAACTAACTTCTGAAATTGTAAGGCATCTGTGGGATTGCGAGAGAAATTTCGAAATCTTTTTTACAGTCTTGTGCACAGAATCCAAAAGTATTGTGTTATTGTTTTGAATGTTCATGCCTTCTTCTTGGCCCATATTTATTGGATATTTCATGTCATTAAGCAGAGTATTTGCATTTCGGATGGTTATAGTAATGAACTTATGGTACAATGTTTTACAGAGAGCCGCTCATAACAAATATAATGTGGAGGAACTTGTTGGTTCAGGTACATGCGTTTCTTAAGATTTTTTTGTAAATTGAAGTATTGGTGCTCTATAACATGTATTGTCATGCCGTACTCTGCTTTTGTCGTTTGTATTTTTGATATTATTGTCTGAACTTCAGGCTTTCTACCAAGTCACTGTCCTACTTGTCTTCAACTTCCGAGGAATAAGTATACTGAAGCTACATGGTCCCAATGCTAACACAGTGAAGAATACTCTGATATTCAATACATTTGTCCTATGTCAGGTAAGTCATAGCTCTTTTTATTTATTTATTTTTTTCTGGAAAAGTAGCTGGTTAATATTGAGTAGTCTACGTTTGTTGTTTTCTCTGGTGCCCCTTGTCAAGTAAGTCTGAGCAATCAGCTTCTCATGTCAAGTTTTCCTATTAAGTTCTGTACTAAGTTGCTACTAAAGTTGATCTGTCGAAAATGATATGTAACATGTTAGTTCAGATCTAATGGAATATTGTTTGGATTTCTAGTGTTGTTACCAGCTGATTGAGGATGAAGCTACCAGAGTTTATTCATTTGTACTTTTAAACATGATTTATCAAAGGGACGTCTTTAATCAGTGTAACGTTCAACTTGCAACATCTTTAATAAGTGTAATAACTTGCAGATTTTCAATGAATTCAATGCTCGAAAGCCTGATGAGTTCAATATATTCAAAGGGATCACCAAGAACTACCTTTTTATAGGAATAGTGACAGTAACTCTTGTACTTCAGGTGATACTTTAGTGCTTTTGTTTTTCTCATGGGATTTTGGTGAAAGTTTGCATTTGTTTACACTTGGCTTTTCCCTCTCCTTTTTTTGTCAGATTATCATCGTCGAGTTCCTTGGGAAGTTCACTAAAACAAAACCACTTACTTGGAATCTTTGGCTAATTTCAGCTGTAATAGCTTTTATCAGGTGAGTTGGTGAAGATACCGTTAAAGTTCAATTGATGTTATGATGATATTTATTATTTGTCCGAAACGAAGCTATGATTATGGCGTGTTTTGTAGTATAAGTTAAACCCTCTGGTGTCTCTAGTTTTCTTTTGTTGGTTGACTCAACTCTCCTCTTCTGCAGTTGGCCTCTTGCTGTTCTCGGGAAGCTGATTCCGGTTCCAGAAACTCCTCTCTTCAAGTATTTTACAAGAATGATCCCTGGGCGAAGAAACAGTCCAGAGGTAAGAGTTCTTGTATATTTTAGCTTCGGGATTAAGATGTATTACTATATTCCGAGCCCGTGACTAATAGTCACCTGCACTTTGGTCTTTCAGGGTAGTCGGTAGGAAGTGTGAAGATATACCGCACTTACAGCAGCTGGTTTCATAGTTTTCTGGATCTGCATCATTCTCTTTTTCGGTTTTTGGCTGTGACAGATCATATTTCACAGAATCCACAAACTAATCTTTTGTTAAGTAGGGAATGTACTTGCAGCGATTCGGCTTTACAGAAGCCATACTTGGTTTGGTCTCCACTGACCGGAATTTTACTTGTGCAGTTTATGTACTTAAAGACTGATTTGGGGTTTTACAGTTCGACTTGTTTTTTGGAATGATGGATTAGTCTATAAAAAAGAAAAATTTCAACCTAAACCCTAAGCAGTAAGATCAAAGGTAAACTGCCGAAATGATCAGTATTCAAATCCCAACTACCGAAATGATCAGTTTTTTAATATGCCGTCTGCGTCTGATCGTTATGTTGTCAATACTTGATTTGGATTTTGAATGGTTCATCAATCGAGATTTGATTTCTGATGCCATCAGTGGTTCTCGAAAAAATAATAATGATATGCAAAACATGGTTAAGCCGGATGGCTCTCTTCCCAGCAACATTGTGGGAGAACAGGTCACATATGACAAATACAAAGCCAGTGAACATATATGTATATAGACATTGAACATATGTATATAGACATTGAACATTCAAATTCAGAATTACATTTAACAAAACCATAAGGAGCATTTTGATTAAAGACAGTTCCTCGCGTCCATTAGAATAAAAGGAAAACTAATGAAAATGACTTAAAAACTTTGAGTTTTAACGACAAGGACAAAATAAAGGGTAAAGTGAATAGTACCAAGATTGATTTTTTAGTGTAAAAATGTGGTTTTTCGTTAAAGCGAACAATATCGCGAGCTTTTCGTTAAAGTACATGGCGCTGGTGAATCGCACAATCGTAACCAGGGGGAAGTTGAAATGTTGTTGTGAGTCTTTTCAGCCTTTGGAAGCGTGGATTGCCGTGGTGAAGCTACCAATTAGTCCCCTTATTTAAAAAAAAAAATTTGAAAACCAAAACCTTAAGTCGTAATTATATCAGTGTGTATTTAGTTGTTACGTAATGATTCCAAGCAAAGGGTAAATGTACGCGTAACTGGACAATTCAACTAAAATAAAATGATTTCTTTATTTGGTAATTATAAAAGTTGCTAGTTTTAATACAGAAACCATGTAACATATTGTACCAAACGTACAAGTTGATCATGTACATATCTTGATATATATACCAGGCATTGGTTTTTATGGTAATTCAAATTATGCAGTGGGGTAGGAAGCTTCCATAGCAATGCCACAAAGACCTTCCTTTGCCTCAATACCTCTCTGCATTCTTATGTACCCTTCTTCACCCCATTCTTTGCCCCATGAATTCTTCACCAACCAATATTTGGTACCATCATCACTAACTCCCTAACCAACAGCAGTAACACCATGATCAAGACTCGTTCCACAAGTTCCTGTAAAGACACCACTTGAATAGAATTGAAAGTCGGAACCGCTAGCGTCAATGGCAACAGAAATTGGTTGATTAGCAACGGCCTTCATTAGGGCATCTTCACGGTTTGCAGGCACATCTTCATGACCAGTTATCTTGGCTGCACGATTGGCCTCCTTCTTGGTGTTGCAAGTACCATCAACTCCAGTGTACGGGTAATTAGCCTCGGTACTAAGCCCATGGTTTTGATTGATGAACTGAAATGCATCATCCATCAAACCACCCTGACAACCTTGGTCTACACCGCTTGTGTCACAATCAACCAGCTCTTGCTCAGACAAAGATATCAATTTACCAGTTGTGAGCTTTGTAATCCCTTCCATTGCTGCCACTGCTGAAAAAGCCCAACAACATCCTGCATGTATATAATTGAAATTAAATATTGTGTGTTGTTTTTGCTTGATAAATTAAACCAGGGTTAGATTAATAGACATTGAATTTTAATCTTGCAATTAAATCGTACTTTTTTTTTTAACAAACGATATTATCTACACAAACGGGGTGAGGCTCCAAATAAAATTGATTACCACATTGGCCTTGGTCCTTGATGGGTGTAACGGCTCCTTTCTTTCTCCAATCTACAGTTGGTGGTGCAGTAACATTTTCATATTTGAAACAAGTCGTCTTTGCTGAACATTCGTGCCCCATGAATCCATTTCTTGAGGCTTTGAATTCTTCATTTGTAAGGTCTGCAAATTGATTGACGCTCAATTTGTAAAGTTTGTATGCATCCTTATTGGAAGATTCAATAAATGCCACATTTTCCTTGAATATGTTGAAACGCTTCTCCCTCTCGTTAATGTCGGTATATACACGTCCATAACGAGCCATCCATTGCTCGTATTTCCCGTACATTGATGCATCTTGGAGAGCGCGAGAAGTGGCTTGAGAAGACAAGGGTCCCAACATGAAGATCAAAGCCAAACAGATACATTTGGAGTAGTACTGGTTAATGGACTCCATGGTGTATAGCTAGTAAGGGAAGCAACTAGAGTATTTGATGAAGTAAATGAATTCAAGCAACTAAGCTATACTGAAATGGCAGTCTCTTCACGGTTTATACAGGTAAGAGAATAGCGTTGCGATCTCCGTGCCCCAAAAGTTGAGCTGCAATCTTCGTACCCTAAGATGCCCTGACATATATAAATGCATACCTGCGAGGTTTTGCATGTATTTTTATATTATTTTTGTTTTAAGTCGCAATATAAATTACTAGCAAGACATGTCCTTATGTGCATATATACTGGTTCATATAACCTTAGTCTATGTGAGTCAATACAAATATATAACTTTGTTTTATTTGCAAAATTCATTAACTTGGAGAACTAGGCTGAAATTTTAAATCTCATGTTATAACGCAAATAACTTTGCTTAATTAGAATATAAGTAGTTTTATATTTTTATTATTAAGGGGAGGGGGAATGTTGAAATTGTTACAATTGTTTAGGAAGGGGAATTTTGAACCCGAGACACATGAGTGAAAACTCAACACCTTATCCACTAAGATATTGAACCATATGTCAAAATGCAAAAATGCAGAATATAAGTAGTTAAATAAGCCACATTGGGTTACAATATAACTTTATTTATTTATTTTTTTTTTTGTGTTTAAGTTTCTATTTTTGTTACGACATGAATAAGCCATGTGAAACTTAGAGATAGATAGGGGCTGGTGGTGAAGGATATATAATCAAAGGCAAAAATGTAACTTGTTGTACAAAACAGATATGTACGTGTAAAAAATGGATAACGTTTCTACACTTCCATGTAAAATCAAACATAAAAGCTTGCATTCCAAATGAACTCCTTTTTTCAGCCTATTCCATTATAATCCATTCATTGTAGTAGCATGACTGGTTTTAGAAATGAGAAAATGAGGGGTGTAATTACACGAGTATCAAGTGGGAAATTAAATACACCAACTGAAGAGAAATAACTCTAACCACAAGAGAGAAAAATAGATAAAACATCTTCAGCTGTCGATTTTTATCCTTGGCCTCTGGGTTGGCAGCAAATTCTTGTTGGAAATTTTAGCGATATGGATGCTACTTCTCCTACAATAAATTATAAAAAAATTAATATTAATATAACACAATTTTATTATGTTGGAATTTTATTAGTTTAGCTTCACATAGATTACAATTATCTATTCTAAAGTAGGGGGGAGGGCAGGCGCTTTTCATTTTTTTTTATTTTGCTTTATTTACAACAAAACCATGTGATTTGGAGATGGGTTGGAAGGTAGTTATTAAAAGTTAGGAGGGTAATTTTGTCTTTTGAGGTCAATTCCTCCCCCTTCGATTTTGCTTTATTTACAACAAAACCATGGGATTTGGGGCTGGGTTGGAAGGTAGTTTTTAAAAGTTAGGAGGTTAATTTTGTCTCTGATCAGATTTCAAAATATTTACGGTTTTACCAGGATTGCTCTGCTTCAGAAATTTTTTGTTGTGTTGAATGACAAGACTGCCCATCTCATCTTCAGATCCCACGGTGAGGATGATGAGATGGAGGGGGTAGAATCATCTTTTTATCATGAGACTGCCCCGTCACTTCGTTCTGTCTTTGGCACAGACAAAGCCATGCCGATCCTGGCATGGGTAAGTGGGAGGGCGACGGTGAGAGAATGAGAGATTTCAGGTATTTGGGGGGTAGGGAGAGTGATTTCAGGGATTGGCAATCCCATCCCGTGTTTTCCTCTCATCTCTGTCACACTCCTCTCTCTAACCCTTTCTCTTTCACTCTCTTTCAGAGTCTCCCTTTCTCCCAACTCTCCATCTCTCTCAACTTTAGTCCTAACCCTAATTTGTTCTTTCATTCCTCAATTTCTCCATCCAAGCAATGAAAAATCGAACTGGGTTTTCAGATTATTGATGCACAGGGATTCACGGACATAGAAGGCAGAGAGGGAGAGAGAGAGAGAGAGAGAGAGAGAGAGAGAGAGAGTTGATTGAGGGAGTTGGTGAGTATGGGCTTGCATAGAGGGAAGAACGCAGAAAGAGAGGTCAGAGGCATCGTTCACAGAGGGGTTAATGGGTTGCAGGTGGAGAGGGTTGACGGGAAGGGTCCTAGGTGGAGAGAGAGAGAGAGAGAGAGAGAGAGAGAGAGAGAGAGAGATCGTCCAACTTTTCTCTACTTGGATGATTGCGGAAGATCAGGTCTGATAATTTTTGTACTTTCTCGAATCGATTCAGTGAATTTTTTTTATAAATTACTCAGTTTTGGGTTTGAATCTTTATCTAGAAATCCAAAACGAAAAAACTGTGCTCTACAACACGATTGACGATTTCGATGTCGGCTTCGTGAGATCGATCTCTTCGATCTTTACTTCCCCATCTGTTTGATCTCCTCGCCGCCCCATCGTGCTCCCAATTTCTGTAAATTTGGGGTTTCTTCGGGTATAATGTTTTCAAACTCTGTTACTTATTGGATGTGAAGATCTAATTCAATATGGTGATTAATATAATTAGATTGTATTAAATTTTTCATTATTTTGTAGAATTTTACGTTTAAATTTGTGGGTTTTGGAGAATTCTTCATTAAATTTCTAGGTTCTTTTGATGTGATAATGTTGACCCTAGAAACTACCAAGCCTACGTGGCGCGCAGGCCGAGTAATCTATAAGCTAACTACGTCCTTCGGTGAATGCGGGCGTGCCAACTCGTCGGCCGAGCTCGGCCGAGGATTAAATTTGTTGATGTTGCGTTGGGTGCGCGGCTAACTCCTGCGTCTTTCGATTGCGACCGAGGAAGGAACGCGTCTCGGCCTCTTGGGTTCTCGAACCTGAAGACAAGGTTACTATTCTTACGAAGTTCACGAGTCGTCGTCGTCGGATTCAGTCACAGTGATGTTATTCGTCAGAGTAAACTCACGCCGAATAGACACCAAAGTGTAAGGGCACAAATACTCAAAGCAAATATAAGTTTTAATGGTGAACGTGGTTCGGCCGTCCGAATGCGAACTCTAAATCCCACTTGGGAATATCCAATCATAAAATAACTCGGCGTACAATGCACCGAGCTCGATATACTGTAACACTTCACTTCGTCGAGGAGGCTAATGAGATGACCTCAATCAATAAGGATCTAGAAATCCTTCTCGACCGAGACTTGGATAGGTAACTAACCGTCCTCGCCGCAGTGCTGTTCATGTCAACGGAAGATACTGCGAGACCGACTGATTCTACGATAACAGAGCTATCTATGCCGACTTAAGATATCACCGGTTGCTTCCACAGTGCTGTTAATGACAATGAAAGATGTGTCAGCGAGAAAAGAAAAGAAAAAATCTCAAAGTTGTTGAGAAAGCTTGCGTAGGGCAGTTTTGTGTTGAATTGTCGAGGGTCTCAAATGATGCACAGCCTCTTCTATTTATAGCAACGGCTCCCCCCAAGGTCGAGTTGAAACCCCATTCGGACTAGGACTTCTTCTCCCAATCAAACACTGACTCGACCAATCCTACTTTCATTATGACTGTGAACCTAGTCCTTTATTGAGCCGGATTCGCTCTCGGGTTATTAATCATGCCGAGACTCCTTATTGCACCAGGACTCGACTTATCCTACGTCCTGACCTAGCCGACCTAGGTTTGGAGGCCTACGTACTGAACGATCCATGCCGCAATGCCTTTCGGGTCGAGAATGATTCTCTACTCGGCCCAAACTATTATTTTGGGCCTAAACATTGCCCCCTCGCTTCTGAGGCCTTCGACCTGAACCCTCTGGTTGAGCTTTGGCCTTGAAGAAGTGAAGTTAAAACTTCAAAACTCAAATGCTCCCCTTCCGAGGTGCATTTATTGAACACGATCCCACGATCTCGATTCTGCTAACCACCATTCTACGTGGCCTTCTTTTATAGGTTTAATCCGTAGTGACGTTTGGAGTGTGTAGCCCCCTGAACCGTCATATCATCATGGTCTTGTTGCTGAACACCACGCTGCCGCCTCGATCTACGAACCATCCAGTATCGTGCAGACGCCAAACCGTCTTTCACCATAAATCTCGCCGTCACACGTAATCGTGCGTCCCCCAAAACAAGAAACCCTCGGTCTTCTCAACTGGATTTTCTGAATGTTCATAATGATTAGCGAATTCCTCGATCGATTCTACCCTTTATTTGGAATTTCGAACGATTGCCCTTCCCTTCATCGTCCTATAAATACCGAAATCCTCTCATTTGTACCTTTACGCGTTCAAATTTTTTGAATTTCTGCCATTGCTTTAGCACATTCCTTTTCCCCGAGTCTTCATCTTCAAGTCTCCAACCCAGAAAAACCCCTTTCACATCGTACTTTTTATCCTTCCCACAATGGCTTCCTTTATCTCCAAACTTTCCAAGGAATGTGATCAGTGTCAAAAGATTCTTGATCGAAGCTCGATCAAAACTATACGGTTTGAAAGTGACATGAGTACTTCTCACCAAATCTTGGGTTCTCTTTTTAAAGCGGCAGTACCGTCAGCCATTACTGAACTTCTCCAGGAGCATTACCTATCACCCTTGCTCCAAGGGTTTGAATGGTCGAGATGGGATGCGGCGAAACCTCAAGGCTCCTGGCCTTCGACCACTACAACCTGGGCAGCCTGGGTTGTTCGAATGGAAAAGCTCTTCGGCGAGCAATGGAAGGCTCTCGGTATCTACGATGACATCATTCTCTCGTCTATGGATGTCGTTCTCGACAAGGAGCTTCTCCTAACCGCCCTATGCTTCTGGTGTTCGACCACCAACACCATGGTTCTCCCTCTTGGTCCCGTCGGCCCCACCATTCTTGATGTCACCGCCATTTTGGGAACTTCAGCAACTGGAATCCCCATCGATGCTGCCTTCTCCGGGTACCCGTCGAATCTTGACCTGAAAACGCTTTTCGATCGACGGGCTTTTGAGACGTTGAGCCGTGAGGGTCAAATCCCCTCGAAAGAAGACGCTCAGAAACTCCACAAGAACTTCTTCAACTACAACACCCTCTATCTCCATTTTGCCGGCCGAGGAGAAGAGGCCCTGCGAGAAGGGGAACATGAAGTTTTCCTCTTCTATTGGTACAACAAGTACATTTGTTGTACCAAATCGAACAAATGCTTGGTCGAGAACATGCCGGTAGCCGAGGCCCTGGCTAGTGGCCACGTCCTGACACTTAGTCCTAACATTCTTGCCCATCTCTTCCACTGCCTGGCTGAGAATACCCTTCACAAGATCGACCCATACCAAAACGGTCCCTTCTGGGTGCAAGTTTACTTCGCCTCCCTTCGGCCGGCAATCGTCGATTTCTCGCCAACGGAAGCGCTTGGGCCTCAGCTGGCCTTCCGACCAACACCCCTTCACCAAGCCGAAGAGGTATTCAGATACTTTTTCGCCCTTGATGACCTTTCAAACGACGAGTTCTTGATATGCCGTCGTCGAGAATATTCCTCCTCAATCAAGCTACCTACGTCAATGTGGGGCACGGACGAAGACGCCGACCTTCGTCAGTCATGGGGGTCATTCGTGCTTACTCACGACCTTCCTCTCAGCTGTGATGGGAAACGAGCTGGCTGTGAGGTATACCATCCTAACTTCCTGGCTCAACAGCTTGGTTACCTTCAAGGCTGCCCGGTCCCTCTTCTCTCCTCACGAACCGTCTTAAGCCGTGGACGTGAGACTGGTTCCTCGGAGAAGGAATGCAATATCGCCAAGAGGGAGTTTCAAGAGCAATGCCAAAATTTCCGCCTTCGACCGGCCATTCCGTAAACACTTAGCACCGATACCTTTGGCGAGTGGTGGGAAAAATATACCCAGGAGTTCTTTGGTGTTCCGGTCGAAACCGTCTTGGACCAACTTTTCGTCGACCGTCCCAAGAAAGCTTCTGTCTCCCAAGCCCAGGGTAACTGTTTATTTTCCCCTTTTTCCTTTCAATTTTGAGCTATTAATTGGTTTTGTTGATTTGCTTTTACGTTCTCAGGTGGTCAACCGTTGAAAAAGGTAGAGGCGGCCGCCGTAACTGTGGCCAAGAAAAAATCGGCCGTCTCAAAAAGGGCAGAGGTTGCTGCGCAGGCTTTGCCGAGTAAACGGCCTCGTCGAGAAGCCGAGCCAACCGTCGAACCCCCTCGGCCTGCCAAACGGGTTAAGAAGCTAGTGAGGAAAGGAGAACGGGAGATTCACGTCATCTCCAGTCAAACCACGGGGATGATGACTCCTAGAGTATCCCCTTCTCCCCCCGTCGCCCAAGCCTTGGTCGAGGATCGGCCAATTCCGGCCGAGGAAGCGGTCCACGCACGGCCTGCTTCTAAGGTTGGGAAACCAGTTGTCATTTCCTTGGTCGAGGCTGCACTTGTCTTAGAAAAGGCAGTCCCCTCGACCGAGAAAACTTCTGCAAAACCCGCGGCCGTTGTTCTAGAGGAGAGTGAGGGGAGCGACGAAGTGCCTCTGGCGAGTCACCCTCGTTCCCATCGTCAACCTCCTCCCGTGTCCAAGGCGGCTGTCCAAGTCGGCCTTACGACGGCCGACCATGGCAAATCACCGGTCGGGGAGCCAGTAACGGTGGCGAACGCACCTGTTCACCTGCAAGACCAGGACCTCCAGTCCGTGCCCGAAGCTGCTGTCCGAGTCGGCCCGTCTACGGCCAACCGCGGTAAACGACCTGTCAGGGAGCCAGAAGCGTCGGCGAAGACGCCCGTTCATCCGCAGGACCAGGATATCAACATTCCCCCGTAAGAGGTTACTTCGGCCTTTGTAAGTACCTCATTCCGCCTTTTCTTGGTCAGTTCTTTGCCGTAAAAACTCTAAACTAGGAAACTACTAAATGTCAGGTGCCTGCACACTATTTTCATCAAAAATTCTATGCGCCGAAGGGTGTTATCTATATTTCTTGGCCGCCTCGATGGCCATCAAATGTAGATAACCTCCATCGGCCGCGTGAACTGAGAAGCAGCCTAAGACACTGGGCTCGGCCATTAAGCTCTTTAGGTTCAAGCAAGGATCTTGAAGACATGGCTGAAGTATCCTCTCGGTAGGTTAAAAGAAACGAAACCCTCTTGTTACCTTTTTAGGATTTCTTTGAGCTCAAACTTTATTTTGTGTGCAGGCCTCATGGGAAGTCGAATTCAAAGCCCTCATGTCCAGCACAATTGGAGGGGCTGGTCCTTCGACCGCCGCGACTGAAGTTGCTGATTCAACTGCTCTAACTTGGT